AAAATGCCCCGTGCGTTTTTATCGCGAGCATCATGATTCGCACAGTCGGCGCTTCTTGTCCGAAATGTCGTAATAAAGCCGATTATCACATTGTAAACATGTCGTGCGTGTCATCAAACACGATATCGCGGCGACATGCCTATCGGGAGATTTACGGGTGACCCTCCGGCTCTCCTCTCTCTCTTTCTTGGCAAAATGTTTTCGTTCCGCGACATTATACATTTTACGTAACTAAGCCTCGAATTAGAATCTGGGCGCGTCTTATTGCGCGTATGTATGCTCTTCGTGTTTGCGAATGCCAATCGAAGATATCTCACGAGTCAAGTTTCCTCTCGGGACTTAACGCTCGAAGTAGTCATCATATATCATTTGTAAGTAGCGGGAGAATAATATTCGTCATTACATCGGAAGTGACATTCGTGTTTCTCGTGTGTGTTCATCGAGAATTTGCACCGCGAAAAAAAGAATATTTTAAACATTCACTCGCGAGAGAACAGAAATAAGGTTTTCCGTGAAATAAACCTTATACATCGCAAGTAAATGTTTAAATATTTTTTTCTCGGTGTAACGAGAACGCGATGTTCGCATCAGAATAGATGTCCCGAGTGAAAATGGTTCATGACGATGTTTTAACCCGGGAATAGTCACTTGCGGTCATTTCATATCCCAGCGGTCAGAAGACAAAGCTTACGTCGCAGTGGATTCTTTTTACTGATCAAGAACTAATATGTACCTTTCATTTGGATATTCAGTAACCTAACCTGTGCAACAAGAATAGGCTGTGACCCGTCTTACTCATAATATAAGCTTGTAGAAACACGTTAAGATCTAAATGACCCCAGGTGATTGTTTACGCAAAAAAAAAAAGAAAAAAAAAATAAGGCGACTGTTCCCGGGATAAAGAGAGAATCCGGAGAGCGGTGAGATTAAAACGGGCGCTCGGAAACGTCGATATTTCGACGGTGATAAATAATCACCCCGTGAGCGGTAGCGCAGGAGCGGGTTAATCGCCGTAATGGGAGAACGCGGAAAATTGACAGGTCACTGCGTGGTCCACGGCCGCTCTTATTTGTGCGGTGATTAAATACCCCGGCTTAATCGGTCGAGAGAGCAACTCCGCTCCGAGAACGTCGATCTGTTGTTGTTGAAATCAAGGCCGCCCGTTTCTGCGCGTACTCCGATTGTTTCATTCCTCGCGCGATACTTCAGAATGGAAACTGATTTACGAGCGAGAGTAACATACGTTTCCGTTGCGTGCCGCGCGAGAGCGACGAACGCGGCAGTGATACACGGGAAAATGCGGCGAATACGCCGAGCGAGTGTAACGATCTCGTCCGGCGAAGATGGAAAGGTGAACGGCGCGGATCGAGAGTCGCAGGTATTTTCAGGGATGTGCCATAGATTTTGAGATCTATACGCGGACGTCTATACGTCGACGATTTTTATCGTATCGTCCACGTGATGTTTACTCGCATTTTTTTCTTTCATACAGACAATGTAAATTATGCGAAAGATTATAAATTACACGGCACAGTGGAGGAGGAAAGGATGAATTATTAGTTTAAATTAGTTTAGACTGTAAAATAGTTCACGTGTCTTATTTTGATGTTAATTATGAAGATATTTAATATTGTAAGTTGAAAAATCCTCCCGTATTAAATAATTTATTCGTATCCAGTAATCTGCTCAGTTCTCATTGGCCTGCTCGCACATGTCTCGATTACATCTCGAGTACGTATCATAAAGAGCTTAATGCATATTGATTTATTATTTAAATTTACCTGTGAGCTTTTAAACGGAAAAGGGTAGTGTTTTTTTGTTCGTGATTAAAATAGGTATAATATGCGTTTTTTATTAGCGTGAAATCAAGTTTGCCAAATTAACTATTGGTTTTTCGTGGTATCGTGAAATATAAAAATTGTACCATTACGTTTAATAAATAATTTCATTAATTTTCAATAAGTTAAATTAGGTAGTTACACGGAAAAAAATGCCGTTGAATCAATCGAATTTCCGACAGCACGCGTAATTGGAGTAAATTTTGATCCAATTGCGATATCGTTGAACTCATTATATGAACTTTAATTATTGAAACGACACATAATAAAGTAGTATTAATAAAATAGTATTAATGATATTTGCCGTTAAAAAAGAAGATCCACTCCAATTACTATGCTATTGGAAATTTTATTGATTCAACGGCATTTCTTTCCATGTAAATTACGCATATTAAAAATATCTGCATAACGATATGAAAGAAGTACATGTTGTTAATATACATAAATGTTATAATTCAGATTTACCTATAAGCTTTTATAACAGAAATAAAATATAAAAATAGGACTTACGAAGACGAGCCATTCCATAATAATTCATACATTACTTATTGTCTACATATACTGAGAGAAAAATATAGTTATTTTCGAGAACAACGATATCCTTTTTTTTTTATTTTAATCACAAAAATAGTCGATAGAACTATTTTTTTCTATTTTTCTAGTAAACGTTACTATAGTGTTAATGACAATAACTTTATCTAGCATGTTGCTGCTGCTATTTGTGCGGTTAAAATAAAAAAATTATATCGTTGCCTCGAAAATAACTATATATTTCTCTTAGTGATATACATAGTTTACATTGTCTACATACGTCTAGACGCGGACTATTATATTTTACATGCATATGTCCGACCCTGGGCATTTTCGTGCGGCTGACAACGATAACTCCGTCTTTGTAAAACGCGCAATTAGCGACAATGAACACCTTCGCAACGTACTATTGTAGACGCGGAAAAAATACTAGTTGAGTTGAGTCCGCTGACGTTTTTACGTATTATCTTTCATCCTTGACAAATATTTGTCACGGTGAGTAAAGATATGACGAAAGAATAGCGAGAAACTTTTCGACGAACGTGAAAGGTTTACTCGACTTCAACGGGTTGAAAACAGTCTCTGACATCTCGAGAGCGCGTGTCCTTTCTTTCTCTTTCTCTCTTGCTCGCTCGCACAACGTAAACGCGTAAACAGCTGACGAAAATGACAGAGATGAGTTTCATTGACCACCAAAGTAAGAGTCGAAACTTTGGAAATTATTTATCAATTCAATATCGGTTATTGCGTCTCGCGTACTGACGTTTATCGACGATGCGACGACGGCGAACAATAAGGCGAAACTGGCATTTTACGGTAATCAAGTATCCGACAAATGACTACCACCACGTCCGGAGCCGGCTTAATTATGACAAACAACATCTCTCTCGTCTCCGAGCGGAGAGGAATACGAAAGACGCCGAGACAAAGGCGCGAGAGAGAGAGAGAGAGAGAGAGAGAAAGAGAGAGCGGCGCCAGAACATTGTTTTTCGCCGCAAGTCGGTCGCAAATCACGACGGACGGACGAGCGAGCGAGAAAGGAAAGAAGAAAGGAAGAAAGAAAAGGCGGCGAAGCTGGACCAGCCAAGTCGACCGGTGAGTGAACGTAAAATGATCGTATATCATCTCTCTCTCTCTCTCTCTCTCTCTTTCACTCACTCACTCACTCACTCACTCACTTACCTAACCTAACCTTCCAGCGTGATGGTCCTGCGGCCGGGATGCGCGGCGTGTCTCCTCCAAGGTTGCTGCTGCCGCCCGGGGATGAGGACGCGCGTCCTTGGACGCGCGCGATGCACGATGCACGTAGCAAAGAGCATGCACGAGTTATGCGACGGCGGGAACATCAATGGGTAGGGGGTGGTAGGAGAAACGCGTAATTAACGGTATGTCTTGACTGTGCCGGGAGAGGAGAGAAAGAAAAAGAGAGAGAGGGAGCGAAAGACAGAGATGGCAGGAGGAGGAGTGAGGGAGGGAGGGAAGGTGGATGGGTGAAGGTAGGGAGAGAGAAAGAGAGTGTGAACACACGGGGGAGACACAAATTATCGCGCCCACGCACTGTGTCGATCTGAAGTGACACCGCCTCGACACGCTCCGCCTCGGTGCGCCCGTTACCGTGGCGATCGGGTCAACTCTGCCGTCAATACGCCGAGATACAGAGAGAGAGAAAGACGAGTTTGAGTTTCTTCCTCGCTCTCCTTCCTTCTCTCTCTCTCTCTCTCTCCTTCTTTCTCGTTCACTACCGCGAACCTTCGCGCGCACACCGCATCTCTCGAGGCTGGCCGCGGCCGTACTGCGCGTGTCTACCGTACGCTTCGCGCCGGAGCCGCGTGCACGCGGCGCCGGTGGTGCCATCGAGCGGCGGTCGACGAGGCTTCTCGCGCGCGAGAGGGTAATGCAGATTCAGGGACGCGGAAGAGCGAGGAGAACGCTGCTTTTTTAGGGTAATTTAATTATCTAGGATAAAATATATTTAATAAGCGTGGATAGTAGTGCGGAATATTGATGTAATATTGTTATGCCTGCGCCAAATGGATTGGAACGGTCGATTATGTCAATCAGTAATCTTCTTATGAGTAATATATAAATATAGAATTATACATTTATATATATATATTAATTGTACGTTTATAATCATATATAACTGTACCATCATTTCATATATAATTATATATTTTTATATATGGATATTTTCTCTATATAATCTTAATTTGAGCACCTTTGAATATTTCTTAAATTAAACAAAATGGGAAGAAAAATTTCAGACAAAAGTCGTAGGGTTTCGAGGACACAAAGTAGTGACCTTACTTCGTTATACAGTCAACAATTCAAGGTTATTTCAAGGTTAACTTCATTTTTCTAATGGAATTGTATAATTTTTTATCGCGCCTTTTTGCGATTTTCAAGGCTGTGTTCGGGAATATATATTGAGGGTTTACGTTGCGGCGGTTTTACGTTGATCATGCAAACGTTTGATTGCGGCTGCTAATAGTCAGATTTTAGGTTACCGTGTAAAACGTGGTCTACAATGGGCAGAAGTATGTTCACAAGAATAAGAAATTAACCACTCATAGTCGATTATTCTTCTTGTATTCGAATATGATTGGTCAATTTCTTATTCTTGAGTGAACATACTCCTACTGTCGACCATGTTTAAACGTAGTCACTGTCGTTAAAAGTTACAAAATATGCCTACCAATGTTGAAACACGAGCGCTTCGGCGATTAAGCTCCGTTTCTCGTTTCGTTCCGCATTTCGAACTTGTGTTCGCGCGCTATCTGATTTTTCGGTTGCGCAACGCGCGACGCGCCGCGTACGTGAAACTGTGCGTGTGTGCGTGTGTACGTATGCTGTTCCCCGCGCCTGCGATAGAGCGCCACGCTTCGTGAGTGTATGTACGGTGAATCGTTGAACAGATATCGCGAACGGTGCTGCTCATCGTGCGAGATCGCATTTACGTGAGTAACGTCGTCGCGTCGTCGTTGTGAGGTCTTCATTGAGGATTCCGTTTTGCGCGACGGACAGCAGCAGCGGGCGCGAAAAAAAAGGGTAAGCAACGAGACCGCCATCATCCGCCGACGACGATGTAGCCTAACAAAATGGCCGCCGCTCGTCCTCGATGGTACTGTTTACCCGTTAGGGGAACGTCGAGCGAGCGCGCTTATCGATTCCTCGTTACCGCGTTATTCGCGTAGTGCATAGTGTCGTTTAGTCGATCGTCGTTCGGATCGCTGACGCGTCACTCGCAAGATTTCGTCTCACCGCAGGTGAACTGTGCACGGCGGCGGCATCGTGGTGCACCGTTCGACGGGCTGTTGTAATCGTCGTCGCAACGGCGGCTCGGGGGCTTTTATGAGGGAACGCGACGTCTCATCAACGCGGCCGCGCGCCGTCCGGATGCCCAAACGACGGGATATGCTACCTCCAATTGAATTGGCGAGATCGCTGGCACTCCTTCGAACGTAGCTCTTTCGCGTATTATTAGGTAGTCATAACCTTAATTGCGCTTGGCTTTGTGTCGCGAATTTTTCGCGCTACTCCGCTTCCGCCGGCGTCACCCACCACGTGTGTGTGTGTGTGCGTGTGTGTGTGTGTGTGTGTGACCGTATCGTTCGCTTCGCCAGGTCGGAAACATGTCGAGCTCGTACATTGTCGAGCCGCAGGACGGCGGGTCCGAGAAGAAGGACGATACGTTGATCATAGTTTTCAACGACGATGGAACGATATCCGTCGACCAGGCGACGCTGCAGAACTTGATAAGTAAGTGGTTGCTATGGAATTCGCAGGTAGATTTTTGTGTTATCGAATGATAATGCGAGGAAGCCAAGGTTTAGCTATGAATTTGGAATCCTGGCCTTTGTCCTGTTGTTCTTAACTTTTAAGAGATCTGTTGAGAAGGCTTGTTCTGAGATTTCCAAATACTTTATGTTCTATGAGACACGTGTTGCAATAAATTGTTTATTAACATTTCAGTGAATCAAACGAACGCTAATGTTAGCGTGGTAAGACTAGGACAAACCGAGGCAGACGTTGAGAATGGAGACATTACCTTGACAGTAGACCCACCGCCATTTACGCATCCGACAGCAAGCTCGGTAAGCGCCAATGCCAGCACCGACCTCGGTGGATTGGTAGATCCTTTTATGGAGATGGATCCAGAACAGTTGGAAAGATTAGAGACAGCTCTCCAAAGCGAAGAGGCAAAGCAGATACTTGGGGAGAATGTCACTGCGATGCTTGGTACTTTATATTATTATTTTTTTTTCCGTTTAAGCTCCTCCCGTTCCTTTCTTTACGTGATTGCGACGCTACGTATAAGAGCATTTTGTTTTCATTGGCGATACTTGTAGAACTTTATCGATATTGACACACGTAAACTCGTGCAACCATGCGAATGCACCTTTTACTTCTCTGTGGTTTGATACAGTCTCCTAGCGTTTGGGATTCCTGTACTCTCTTTTCTCTTTTTAGATATGCTGTCTGTAGAGGAGTTGCAGAATTCGATACGGTACAGCATACAATTGGATCATTGTTACACAACCAGATTGTCACCCAGTGATCCGATACCAAGGGACCCATTACCTATTGCCGATTCGCCCGAATCTAACGATGTGCAGTACATGCATCAACCAGTATCCCCTCGAACATCCGTAATGTCGTCATCTGTCAGTGACGTAGATAATACCGGGGTTAAGGGCAAGAATATCGTCAAGAGTGTAAATGTAATTTTCACGATGTTATAAATATTTATATATATTATAAAACATCATCTCATAAAGTAAGTTCGATTGCTTCTGACAAAATTAATGTCTCCATGGACACTTCAGGTTAAGCACGTCAGTAGACCGGTACGTAAAGCTGCTGTATCCACACCTACAAATGTAAATGTGCTTCCAAGAGCTAATACGAGCATCAGTGGAACACCTAAATTGTCAGGACATGCCGTACCAAGGAATATAAATGCCCAGCAAACATCTGCCAAAGGTATCACAACACTAATATGAATATAATATTCAAATATTTTGTGTGTGTGTGTGTGTGTGTGTGTGTAAAATAATGTTTGTGTTATTACGAAAATCAGTATTAACGTTTTTATGTTCATTAGTATGAATGTTAAGGTCACGACGCAAGATTGTCATAGTCATTCTTATAGCACAAGGAAGGAACAATGAAGAGGAAGATGATGATGAAGTCTCAGAATCATCTACAGAATCTTCTGAGTCCGAACCACCGTCTGATAATGATAACGATTCGGATTTTGGACCTCGTGGTACAAAGAGATCAAATATCAGGGCTCGAGGAGGTCGGAAAGGTCTCACCACAAGGGGTGGTAGCATGGCAGCTGCTCGAAGAAGAGGTCAAAACAAGCATCTGGATATGGAGCAAGTGCGGCGATTAGACATGGAAATGGCTGCTGCGGTTAATGCGATGAAAGGCTCTGAGAAAGATGACAGATCCGGTTAGTAAAACAATTATTTATAATCTACTGAAAATATAAGGAAAGGATTTAAGGACGTGTTATACTTGATGATAAAAGTGGAACTCATTTAATTAGTATAAAATGGATTGAAAGATATCGCGATAATTTCCTTCGGGTTAATTTTACACTGAAATAAAATATTTAAGACGTTTATATTATTATTGTTATTATTATTATTATTATTGTTATTGTTATTATTATGTAAACACGTAGTATATATTTTTTTTACATTTCCAGAGCGGTTTAGTCCTACCAAGCCTAAGAGGCTGGTGAAAACTCTCGGTGGTAAGAAGAAGGAGGAGTCACAGTTCACGGAGACATCCTCGTCTGTGCCCGAAGAAACGCCGGTGGTGCAGGAGAAACCGTTGCAAACGACGAATCAAGTGAAAGCGAATCTGATTAACGCCAATATGATCAAAGGCGACATGATACTGACAAAACCCGGTCAGGGAAGGAGCAATCAGAAGGTTACCTTTATTCAGAAGCAAATTCTGATGAAACCGAACGAACTGAAGAACATCGGTATTAAGAAGCCTGTGATGGTCTCCAAGGGAAAATTCGTCAATCAACCCAGTACGAAGATCTTCGCGACTAAGGATGGAAAATTGATACATGTACCAATAACAACGAAGACGGTCAATCCGAGCGCGCAGGTTACCCAAGTAAAGACGATGACGCTGATTCAGCAGTCTGTGGTAGCTCAGCAGCAGCAGCAACCAGTGCAGAGCGCCAACCAAGGATTGCCGATGCAACAATTGAAAACTGTCATGTCGGCCAGCAGCAGCACACCGCCAAAGATCAAACCTAGTGATATAAAGAAGGAGAAGAGAAAACTAGACGGTAGCATAGAGTCGCTATCGAAAGCAGAAGAGACCACTCCACTTCCTACGAAGTTCGCGGACAAGGCATTGGATAGTCAGTATCAGTCAGTCGTTAATTGGTTAGCTCGACAGTGGTCGCGCGGATGACAGGTATCATCCATGCGTACTAAAGTGCATTTCCCGAAAAAAATACAAACATCTATCTTGCGTCTTCGCGTACTTGTCAGTCAAGGACTGCGATGTGTTCATTGCGGGAAATTAAAAACGACTCGCGTCCAGGAACACGAAGTCGTTGTTTCTCTGCGGGAGAGAGCGTAATAAGACCATTAGGATATCTTGATGACGAAAGATGTATAAATTGGACTTGTCCAAATCATTGTAAATATGATACTTGCTTCTAAAATGATGATTACCTATATGTCGTATTTAAACAGATCATTCCCGAAACAATGTTAATCTTGTGATTTGTTCCCGATGTTTTTTTTTCCTGTTTTTGTTCTTAAATCGAAGAAAATAAGTGAAGATTGTTTTAGTATTGTTTCAAATAAGATCCTTTAAAAAATTGTTATTTTCGCATAAATAAATATTCTTTTCTAAAGCGATTCTTTTTTGGTGGTTTTTTTTTTTCTATGATTTCTTCGAAGATGTTAATTTATAACGGAGGACATTTGTCATCCACGCGACCATTTTTTGTTGCATTTATGTATGCGACTATTTCAGGGTTGCCGATAAGATAATCGCACGTCTAAGTGTCAAAATATTCGTTCACAGGCGCGAAGAAGCATCTGAAGAAGGAGAGCAGGAAACCTCCGGCGTATGTAGCGGATACCTTAGGTCCGGCGCTCTTCTCGACACCGGACATAATACGACGTGTCGGTACGAACGAAGGAAAGATGCCGGACAACACTGTGACGCCTACGACACCCACGACACCTTCGGCGACAGTAGTGTCAACACCCGGCTCATCGGCCGTTCCTACTTCGCCGACAATATCGTTGAACATCAGTACACCATCTGCTTCAGTCGTAGTGCAGAACGCTGTTCCTAGTTTTAGTAAAAAGACGGCGTCGAGTATATTGGAGCCGTCTATTCAGCCGGAATCACGATTAAGCCTGGATGGTAACAACGTGGCGTCGGGAAGCGAGAACGAATCGAAATCGACGATCAAAGCACCACTGGCTGAAGAATTGCAACCATCTCTAGATTCAGGTACAGTTAAGCGTTAAGGGATTCTCATGTTGTTTCTCTTTCAGTACTGGTTTTCTTGCCTTCTCTATATACGCAAACGATTCTTCAAGGAAAAACTTGGTTTTTATTTACTTTTTTAATCGCAACGCCAATGTAGGAACTCTTGTCTATCGTTTACTATTCTCTATTATATTATTTCGTTTTACTAAATCAAAGAGAAAAAGAATGACGCATCGTGCCGCTCTGTGATAACGTTCTTAACTGAACTAAACCAATATCCTCTCCACCCGCATTATTTTTCTTTTTACATTACTTTATATTGCCAAGGGGGTTCTTCACACGATGTATGCCTCTATGTGAAATTTATGTTTTGCAATGCTGTCGTATGTTTCCTTAGTGCCAAATACCGCTTCGTCAGAGGGAATTATTCAACCTGTGGTACCTCATGTTCCAAATCATGTTGTTTCTAAAAGTAGTAAGTTCTCACTCACACTTATACACTCTACCGAAGAGAATATCGCTTATCTATGACGCTGACTTCCAATTTAATTCTAAACTCTTCAGTTCTTGTTCTTCCCGAGCATTATGTTTATATATGGTTTATTTATATTAGTATAATATTTGTTTATATTCAGCATAACATATACTTGATAAATTTATATTTAGCTCAGTGTTTATACTGAAATTATTAGTAAGTGTAATTTGCGTGCTTGTTCAAGGTGGAATAGAGGGTGAGGAACATTTATTGGCTACTTTAGAGATGGAGGCTAACAAACATGAAGAGGAGCTGCTCGCTGAAGCGTTATTGCTGCAAGAGGAGCTCGGAGTCGACTTGGCCGATCATGTACGAACTTTTATACGTGTATATGATATATCGATTTTACTACTAATTGCCCTTCAGGGTCCTTATTTTGCATCATCTTATGTTACACGTAGTCTGCGCTTGTGGATCCCGCGCCGACAGCGTCGGAACCGTTAACGTCCGGTGGGATGCTTGTGCCTACGTTGATGTCGTCCGAGCAAGAATTGCCCAAACCGGTTGAAGCAGCGCCGATTGTCCAGACTCAAGCGAGTACTCCGCGGGAAGTAGGCAAGAAATCTACAAAAGATGACAAAGAGCCGATACAAATCGTCCGGGGTGGCCGTGTGATCACGTTACCGCCCATCGAGGCACCTGCCACTAGAAGCAAACGGCTACAAGCGAAAGCTGAGACGCTGCAGAAGAATCCCGAGCCGGCGAAGAAGATCGAGAAGTATTCGTGAGTATATTACACGTTGTACTTTTGTGTGTAGTACCTCTTGTTTCTTTAAAGTAACGTAACGTTACTTAATACGAATTTTTCACGTCGACGTAGTCCTCAACAAGTTCAACAAATAATACACAAGGAAGAGTTGAGAACGGGCATGAACACAGAAGAAGATGAGGATGATGACGAGGACGAGGAAGAAAATTCCGACTCGGAGGACGATCCGGACCGATTGTGGTGCATCTGCAAACGGCCGCACAACAATCGGTTTATGATATGCTGCGATGTTTGCGAGGATTGGTTCCACGGCAAGTGCGTGCACGTCAGCAAAGCTATGGGTAAGTGCCATTCGGCTGGAATCTCTGAATCTAAGTCGACGAGATTGGATATTTATTTCGGCGATATCCACGATTCACGTACGTACGCTGGGATAGGTCAACAAATGGAGGAAAAGGGCATAGAATGGGTATGCCCGAATTGTCTCAGGAAGAAGGCCGAGGAAGAGAAAACAAAATCGAGCTCGCAGGTCTCGCCGGTGAAGCAAAAGATCAAGATCGAGCCAACGACGAGCGATAATAATACGGTATCGCAGGCTGTTCTGCCCCTGAAAGAGATATCATCATCGCCGGCAGTCTCGTCCGCCGATTACGCTGCCGTCCCGATTTCCGGCACGATGCAGTGTGTCGTTTGCAAGAAGGAAGCTAGGAACTCGAGCATTTATTGTTCAGACGCGTGTATCCTCGCTCATGCCCAAGAGACTTTAACTAAAGACAAGCCTGACAAACCAACGGGTTCAGGTGCAAAACCTGTGAAACCGTCTGTAACTATCCCGGAAACTACCACTACTACTATCACTACGACTAACGTAAAACCAAAACCCGAGGCTAGAGTGATAGTTTTCGACAGAAAGACCGGCAAAGTGCTTACCGGTAAATAAATCATTTTATCCATCACGATTGTACAAGAACGTATCTCTCTCGTATCTCTCTGTATGTGTATTAATATGTATGTATGTATGAATCATTGATATATTATTGTATTAGGTGCAGAAGCTCCTACAAGATCCAACTTACGAACATGGTTGAAGGAAAATCCAACGTACGAGATAGTAGGAGCTAACAGTCTCAGTACGCTTCAGATAGGCGGGAAGCTCGTCACGCAAATACAAACGACTGGGAAAACTACTGTATGTATAAAATAAGAGGATGCAAAGCAAGTAGATTAAAATTCTTACCGGTATAGGCAAAAAGAATATGTAAGATATGCGTTGCTGTGAACTGAAGTTGCACAAAACGTCAAGAGAAGAAATTATTCAATCATATTGAAAAGTAATAAGGCATTACAAAATAAAAATTCGGCTGTAAGTTTTTGTGGAGGATTTTGGTTGGAATTGTAATGATAATTGTATGATAAATTCTTTTATTATAATTAACTCGCAAAATAAATTTTAGAGTATATAATTGGAATTCTTTAGTGTAACACATACACAATTTCAAACATTATTTAGATAATTTTCAGATTGCCACACTTGTCAACGTATACTCAAGTATGCAAACGAAATGGGAATTTTGTTTTTAGGCAAAAATTACACAGCTGTCTCCGATTAAAGTGCAAACCGTGCCAAAGATGATCTACACGAAAGTAGTTGGATCAAAGCAAACCATTTTGGCGCCCAGTAAGAAAGTCACGATTATTCCCGCCTCGCAGCAAGTGAGCGTGGCGTCGAGCAGCAAGCCGGTGCAACTGAAACAGACGATAATCACGACCGCTGGTAAGAATCCTATAATAATGAAAACAACAGCGTCACCGAAGAGCATCATGCCGATAGTGCAGTCGAAAGTCCAAGCGACAAGCTCGCCAAAGCAGATGCTGGTGAAGAAGCAAGAACCTGCGAAGTCGTTGCCGCTTCAGTCGAAGCAGCAGGCTAAGATAATGCCGATTAAGAAGCCCGAGACGGAGCCCATACGAGTAAATATCAGGAAGACGCTGACGGAATTGTTGTCCAGCCGTATAAAGGAAACCGAGGATCTGAAGCTGACCGACGAGGAGATCGCGGACTTGGCGTTCAACATAGAACTCGAGATGTACAAATATTTCAAGGACACCGGGGCTAAGTACAAAGCGAAGTACAGGAGTCTCGTATTCAACATAAAGGACACCAAGAACCTGACGTTGTTCCGGAAGATCGCGGATCGTTCCCTGACGCCGAATGCGGTGGTGCGATTGAGCCCGGACGAGATGGCCAGTCAGGAACTGGCGGAGTGGCGGGAGAAGGAGACCAAGCATCAGCTGGAGATGATCAAGAAAAACGAGCTTGATCTGATGGCGCAGGCCAAGTCGATTGTCGTGAAGACTCACAAGGGCGAGCAGATAATCGAGAATGACGGCGGGATCGATCACGTCGATCCCAAGACACCGGTGCAGGACATCGTAACCGCGTTGAACAGCGGCGACAGCATAAGCTCCACGGTCGACGACGTCGACAAGGATAAGGACAAGGACGAGAGGTCCAAGTCGCGAACAGACGTGAAGAAGTCGAAGGGTAACACGGACGAGCGGAGGAAGAAGGACAAGGAGAGGGGTAGGGAACGCGACAGTAGCAGGTCGAAGGGCAAGGACCGGCGGGAGAGGAGCCGCAGCCGGCATCGTCACAGCAGAGATCGGGATCGCAGCAAGACCCGCGACAAGAGCAAGGAGAGGAAGTCGAACCGGAGCAAGGAGAGCCGGCGTGAGAAGGACAAGGAGCGAGAGAAGGACAAGGAACGGGAACGGGTTAAGGAACGGGACCGGGCGAACAGGAAGGAGAGCAGAGACAGAGACAGGCACAAGATGAGCAGCGAGCCTCGCACGAGGAATCGCAGCACCAGCCGAGAATCCAAGGACATCGACAAGAGGGACGTCGACGAGCGCAAGACGGAGAAGAAGAAGGAAGTCTCCTCGCCGCCGCCCGCGGAGAAGCCGATAGAGGATCGCCTCTGGCGGCACGTCGAGGACGAGGCGACGACCAACACGATCGACGGGAACGATTCCGATATATCCGACAGGGAGCCCAGTTCCACGGTGACGATCAAGACGCCCGACATCAACGAGGAACCCGAGAGGGACAAGGAGCAGGAGACGGAGAGCCGAGCCGAAGCGCCGAAGGGTACCTCCCAGACCGTTTGGCGTGGCTTCGTCAACATGGTCGACGTCGCCAAGTTCTTCATTACCGCGCAGGAAGTCAGTGGGAACGCCAAGGATCTCATGGACGATCTGCCGGACACCGTCGACGTGGTCGGTAGAATTAGTCACGAGACCGTCTGGGACTACATCTCGAAAATGAAGAGAACAGGCTCGAAGGAAATCCTGGTGATCCGTCTGACCGCCGCCAATGACGAGGAGAAGATTCCTTACATTACTCTATATAGCTATTTGAACAGTAGAAGTCGTTTAGGTGTCGTGGGCAATGTTTCGAAGAACATAAAGGATTTCTACATCATGCCATTCTCGAGTCAGAGTACAATACCGCCGGTGCTCCTGCCGCTCGTTGGGCCGGGCTTCGAGGAGCACAGGCCGCATTTGCTGCTCGGCATCATCGTTCGCAATAAGAAGAAACGTGCGTCGACCATGCAGTCGGGCATCGTCCCGTCGAAAGTGACCAAGAAGGAGAACTCCGACCGAAGTTACACGCCGCCGTTAGTCAGCGTGGCGAAGGAGAAAACTTCGTCGTCGTCGCCGCCGCCGCCGCCACCGTCGTCGTCGTCTTCCCCTATGCTATATCATCACAAAGTGTCTTCTGCGTTAGACCCGGCGAAGGAGAAGCCAGCGACGACGGTGACGCAGATGACTCTGGAGTCTTTGAATAAAGCGCACATAGGTATGTCCTCGCGCGGCATCATCGACACCGCGACGATATGCAAGATCGTGCCGGAATTGTCGTCGAAGATCGACCTGACCTCGTCGCCGAGCAAGGTCACCTTGGACGACGGCGACGAGCCGTACAGTCCCGGCGAGATGGACGATGATATGGACGCCAACGATTCCGCCTCCGGTATCCTCTCGTCCGGCAAGAACAGCAACTCCACGGAGTTGCAGAGGAAGATGGACGAACTGAACCGGCAGATCGAGGAGCAGAAGCAACAGATACAGAATATTAGCTCGTCGTTTCTCGGCGAGACGACGGCCACTCTGCCGGTGAGAATTTTCCCAAGGCTCATTTTTCACGTCGCACGCCTCGAGATTGTTATCACCGTCGTCGTCGTCGTTTTCTCCTGTTGCCCTGCTGTAAATAAAGTTGATTTGAATCTACCGTCATCCCGCCATCTTGCCATCCCGCATCACACCGAGCTGCTCGGGACTGTGGCATATAGAAAAACGGTGGGCAGTAAGACATAAGAAATGAGCGAATTGATCAATCACAGTTGATTATTCTTCCGACGGTAAGGAAATAATCTATTGCGTGATTGGTCAATTTTCGTACTGCTCAAGTTTTACTGTTTGCGTTTTTGTGTGTGCCACAGCCCTTAGATTATTACTTCTGAGAGAACGTGGTCTCTTCTCAAGGAATATGTCCAGTAAACACAATGGTTGAGTCGAGATTGGACGTTTTATAGCGAGAGTGAGAAGACCTGAACTCTGTTGATCGATCATGTGTCGTAGCATATGTGACTGGGTGTAAATAAATCATTTTCAGGGGGGCAACGATAACAATCGCAGTCTAAAAACGCCAAAATAAGTGTCTTTTAGGACCTTATTAACCTTTGTGTTTTCATTGCTGTTTTTCTAACTTAGCTTTTTACATTAAACTGATATCAACGTTCTTGTAAGATTGCGAGAAGTAATATTGTGTATATAGTAAAATTTATATAATATTGAGTTCAATATCAATTACTAAGTAAACGTATATGTATATATGTATATATATATATTTACATATGTATATGTATATATATATATATTTGTTTGTATGTATGTATGTATATTTATTTATTTATTTATTTATTTATTTATTTATACTTACACGTACATGTAGCGATTTAAATTATTAAGCAACAATGGACCGACATGTTCATCGAAGTAGAAATCTGTCAGTAGCTCTATTCCCCTTCTGTCAACGATTCTACTCAACGATGTACTCGGAAAAGACGCGAAATCTGCGAGTCTCACGCGAGGTCTGCAAACACGTTTGACACGATCAAAATATTCCGTTAAAAAAATGTAACTTGACGTTCAAATGTCAACGTCTTATCTCCTCGAGTAACGTCGCGCCGATACGAGACGCAAGCCCGAGATTGTCTCATCGAAGATGACACGTTTGCGTTTCATTGACTGGCAGTGTCGCGCGCGCACAAGACGGTGAAGGCCACGACTCGACTTTTGTTTGCAATCGATTGATATTATATTAGACTTCATCGATATCTCTTATCGCTACATCCGCACGCTGTTTCAGGGTCTGGGGCTGGATCCGCCGAGCAACGACTGCGAGGAGGCCTACAGCCCGTCGGACGTACGTTCTTTCACGCCGCCTCCGCCCATCACCAAGTTCGCGCAGCCAATCCTCGATAAGGTGTCGGACATCACCATACCGCCGAATCTGCAGGAGATTCTAGCGAACGTGAAGCGGCAGGAATCATCGAAAGTCGACCCCTACCTGCCATCCAAGCCTAGCGCGTCGTTCTTACCCGGAACGGTCAACACCGCAGGTTCGCTCTATCAGAATACCGACAAGTACTCACCATCTTCGTCTTCTAGAGTCAGCCAGTCGGAGAAGGCGACGTCGGAGGTGCCGTCGAGGGAGAGCAAGAGCACGCTGAGCACCTTGAGTGACCTGGATCTGATCAAGAAGGCAGAGGAAGAACTGGCCGCCGTTGCTGCGGCGACAGCCGCGGCAACATCAACGATGCCGCCCGTAGCAGCGTCTGCATCATCGCCGTCGGCCGCTTCTCCTGGCACTTCGAGTCTGACGCAGTCACCGATCGCTCCGACGAGCGACACTTCTGTACTATCGCCGTCGCCGCAGCCGGTGCTCTCGTCGTCGTTGTCGCTTCTGCCGGAAGCCGAGGAGAGCAAAGCGATATACAAGCCGAGCCTTCCGGATCCCTTCAAGAAGAGCTACGCTCCGGAACAACCGAAGCCACCCGGCCTCGAAGACGAGGACCTGCCAGTGTTCCCTTCAATTCCGCCGACAGCAACGACGATCGTAGACTCGTCTAAAGCCGCGCCGGCGGCCTCATCCTCTCGCTCGAAACTCATCCCCAAGAGCGGCATTGTGCTGAGTGTCAAGCGAAAGACGAGCGATGACGGTAACACGTGTGCCTCCCCCTCCAAATTGTCGAGGACAAAGTCACGCTGGGGTCAGGGCCCGCCCGAATAAATTGGCCGGATCGCCGCGATCGGTTCAACCCGCGTCACCGTATATATATATATACCGTATACACCGTATATACTATATATATATATAGTGTTTCACGTGCGCTGTTTAGACGATTATCGCAGAACAAACGGATAAACGGATGCCCGTAACTTGTAACATAAATGTACAAGAAGCCTCTGACAGTGGTAACATTCGGAGGTTTCGCCTGAGCGATCATTTTGTGTGCCTGTGTGAGTGTGTGTGTATATGTGAGAAAGAGAGAGAGGAGAGATAGAGGGACGAAGAGGAAGTTGAAAAGAGAGAGAGAGAGATGAGAGAATTGGCATGATCGATGACTGCGAATCATCATCGTGTGGCATTTGCTTGTATCGAATGAACGAATATTCTTTAGGCTTGGTCACCTTCCCGCAATGCATCTCTGAAAAATGCACGTTCGGTGCACCTTCGACGTCGAACGTCGGATGTAGATATACATATATAAGAGCTTTACTACTGATTCTCTTTATAAGAAAGAAAACGCGCGGCACGTCGCACGTGCGGCGGTACGATTTGTACAAGAACCTTATTTGCGAAAGAGAGAGGGAGAGCCCCTGACGTCATCCTGTTTCCGGCCCACCTCTCTATCCACCGCATCCCTCGATTGCTGCTGAGCGAATTTTCTACGGGAGAGAAAAAAGAAAGAAAGAAAGAAAACTTCACTCTCGCGCGACGAGACAGCGTCGTATTCTATCTCTCGAGACTTGTTTCTCCATCTTCCAGAGTAAGCTCGAAATTTACCCAGCGATGATACGTGTTTTATTTTCTCAGCGAGAGAGAGAGAGAGAGAGAGAGAGAGAGAGAGAGAGAGAGAGAGAGAGAAAAAAAGAGATACCGAGAGTAAGTGTTACGTAGGTAAGTTGATAAATTTATCTAACGATAAGTATGCGGAGATGGTTTTTAACTACATAGCGGTGTCGCCGCGGATTTGTAGGTGCGTTATCGATGTGCCGATTGCTGTAAAGAAACTTGTTTAGAGGAGCGTGAAAATCGCGGGACAACATCCGCCTGATTTTCACTCGCGCATGCGCCGGATCGTTTGTCGAGAATTTATCGTCCGTGCGCGCGCGCGCGCGTGTGTATCCTTGTAAATACCAAAGCGAAGGGATGAATAAAAAAAGAAACTCGACGTTTACGATCGTGCTCGACACGCGATGTCTCATGTAACGGGTATGTATATGTATATACATATATATATATATATATATATATATATAAGCGAGTCGAAAAGTCTCTGTAATATATTTTATTAAAAGACTCTTTGCCTCCTTTCGTCAGAATGTTCAGCTTAGACTTTAACGCAAGATCGGATTCACTGCAAAGCCCAGATCTGCAACTTCGTTATCGAGTAGGTGTTGATTTTTTCAGAGCGATATTGTAGCAGGAATAATCGGTTAAACAGTTAACTCGGAAGGAGGAAGTTGAAGGACAACGGTGAAATGTTTTACGCGAGTGAAAAGACCATTTTGTCCGTTTGAAGACTCAGTTACTTTGCGACGCGACTCTCTTCTCTTCGATTGTCCGTTGAAATGTGCGACGAGTGTTACGAACTAGAAAATGCGTCAGCTTTTTTAGAGCGCATATCCCTGTATTCCACCGGCAATATGCAAAAAGATTTGCCCAACGTCGTGTTCGACCAGACCATGCAATTTGGCTGTCGGCTACATGTGATTTACGTACGTGTTGTGGCTAATGTTGGATTTTGCGCATAAACTCGACTCACGTGCACGTCTCGTGCAATATATCCAGCTGTCAGTTTGTCACTTCTCTCTTCCATAACGCGGGAAATCTCACCGAGCTATCGGGACCGGAGCATCATCATTATTCGGAACGTTTAATTATACACGGATTATTTGCGGACAAGCGTACGTAGCACATCGTTGCGAGAATCAAAATTACCTAAGCTTGATTTTAGATTTTTAGATTTTAGATCAGACAATCTGTGATGTGCGGCAGAACGTCGAGCAGAATTTTGCTAGTTTTTTTTCTTTTCTTGGAAAATTTGAAAGAAATCGTATACGTTACACATGTGATACGTTTACACATGTGATTCCGCGATTTTTCTCCGAAATTTTGCCCCGAGTTTTGTCGCAACTTACAAATCGTCTAGCGCGTGTGGATTCTAACATAATTTCTTTGTAACTTGTTCACACTCTCTTTACCGATTTTCCAGGAGTCTCTAATGTTTGTAGGCGACAAAACCGTTTGCGTTTATACTATCAAATTTGTATAGCATCATGCGGCTTCCTCTAAAAGTCTAAGTGTCCAAGTGATGAATGTATGATTCAGGTTTTTCGTTCTCGAGAAGATTCAGAGAAACGATTTTATGAAATTTTTCCCCGCTGTTGATGAGACCTCGATGAGACTCTCTGTCGAGATGCAAACGAGTTTTCTCACCTTGCGTTTCGAGAAAAAGGGAAACGCATAGCAGCGCACGTTTGATATACGCCGTTTTTATATTCTGTGTGTATTCTCACGTCTCTTTCTTCCAACTCCTTATCGATTAGCGAGATGCAAAATATACAGCATGTACTCGCGGAGCAATCGATAATACAGGTCGACGTTTGCATTACGAAGTAAATTTTGAATGTCACAATTACCGTGAGAATCGTATTACTCTTTGTGCAAAATAACTGTGAGCACACACACCTATGTTTGGTGAAGATTACACCCGCGAAGACGCTCTTGTATTTTTTTATATGTATAGCTGAGAGAACGTAGAGAGAAAGAGAGAGAGAGAGAGGGGGGAATTGAATTTTCATTTGTTTATCAGGCTATGATAGTGCTGAGCTAATCCCAGCAGTCTAATTTTAAACACGACAATTGAGCGTCGCTATAATCTAGCGTAATACGGTGGGATTGCTATATATATATTATGTTATGTAGAACACATTTATTATACAGTACTACGTCTACGTTTAAGGATCATTTTCTAACGATTCTAAGCCGTCTTACTTTTCTCATCCACTTTTGTACCGCGATCCCCGGATGATATGGCGCAACAATTTATTATTGTTATTGTATCATCATTATTGACATTAGTCTTAATCACAAAGGTAATCACGTATATGCGTATGCGACTGTCGATTTGTTTTTAATCATTTACGTCTTTTCTCCTCGCGCTTTCGAACGATAGGCACGCACGTATTATATATTCCGCGAGAGTATACATTTGTATCAATCACGGAGCGTAGACTGCGTGAGACACATTACAGAAAGTTTATAACGATTTTATAATTGCGCAATCGCACATAATAATAGCCGCATTTAGCGATTAACTGGCGAATCTGTCTATAATAATAAAGGATTAAGAAATAATGTTGCTTCTTGTTAGCTCCCGACATTGAAGATCATCTGTCTAGCGATTTTGTCGATGTCCTCAGAATGTAAGATTGAAAAGTGTCTTCGTGGAAGAAGTGAAATTATTTACTCGATATTTGAAAAGTATTCGTGTGTGTACATGTTTAATTATTATTATCATATCGATCACAGGAGTGTTCTCCGAAAGAAAAAAGCTTACATCATTGCGCATTGTTTTTTCAGTCTCAAGATTTGGATTTAATTTGTAATTTTAGATGAGTAATCTTGTTCAACTGAAAATAGAATACATGGAATTAAAAGAAAAGGGGGAAAATGCTCTAAAAAATTTATTTAAAAATCCTGCTCTGTGCGCCCGTTTTTTCCAGCCGATTGTTAGGTCCGTTCTTTTTGGATACATCATATCGCACTTCTCGTGCATGAAAGTGAAGTAAATTTGTAGTCGAGACTCGAAAGAAAAAGAGACAAGGAAGAGTGCAAGAAAGTACAGAAATTGCGCGGCTGAAGGGAGCGAATCTGTCGTCGAATTATTCCAGTTTTAGAATAATCACAAAAAGAGAGAATCCGAAGTTACTTCCTTATCGGTCGAGCTGATATCGCATCGTCGTTCGCTTTTCAACTTCGTATTTACGTACTCTTCGCATCATTTTTAAACACTTACTGTCGTCATCGATTTCCGAGTCACGATACACAGATATCTAGATACGCGTCCGACCTGAAGAACCGAATTGATGGAAAGCGGCAGGCGTCTTTTGCGGAATTTTCAAATCAGGCAATGCCCGTCCGATCCGCGCGAGTCGCCGGTGTCGCCGGGTGCTTCCGCTCTCGTGGAGCCACGGCACTTCCGGGCCGGCCGAGTCGTCACTATCGTCCATTTTTCCTGACACGCGCAATGAGGAAGGTAAGGCCATTTTGTCTGGAGGTTCGACGTGGCGGCCGGATCGAGAGGCGTCCCGAGGATCGACGATGGTTATCCGTGAGTATCATAGTGACACGTACGATCACGTCGTCCTTCGTTCTTCGATCGAAATTTGAGCGAAATGTGCCGATGCGCGCCGAAGAGCGCGAACGCCTCGCGTGTTTTAGCTGCGCCGGTCGGTTGTCTGCGTGTCCGGTGAAATCACTCAAATACTCGTCGCACCCTTTCCGCGATCGATTACTCGCTATTCGCGAATTCTCGAATAATCTCTGCTCGAATAATGCGTGGCAACGGGATTCTACACTACCAAAGTTTCGTTCGAAACACTCCCACCGGTAGATGCGTTCGTCCTTACTCGGCGTCAGGCTTAACCGCGATCTCGCCGGATACGACGAAGTGCGTTACGTTATAATAGGTTATAAATTTTGGTTCGACCGGTCGTAGGCCCGGTTTCACCGACGTGAGTTGATCAGACCGGTCGATTAAATTCAGTTCCAACGGAAGAGCTGCATTTAATCGACCGATCTGATTAACTTGCGTTGGTGAAACCTGGCCTTAATCGCAAGAAATAAATATTCTTACCATGTTCCGTAATTTTAGTAACCGTGCTACCGCTGGTGCTGGTGGCATTAGGCGTGTATTCCACGCATGCCGAAGTCTCGTCATCAACGAATTCGTACTTGTCGGTAGCTGATAAGGCTCGTTTGAAGAGCATCCTTGAGCCGGGATTCCAGTCACAAGATGTGCCCACTGTATATTACGCCGTTAGCGGGTACAAGCTTCTTGGAGAAGCGATACCAAAAACCGATGTAATTATCTTAACTCATTTGATATATAGCATCTTTTGGGAAAAAAATTGATACGTTCAAATTATATGATGAAAAATGCATTTCTTTTGAAACTTAATGATTGTGAGATTAGTCTTCCTGATAATAGTATTTTCTTCATTATGACTTCACATGTAATATCTTGTAATTGTTATATTGACAGTATTCACTTGTTTTCTCAGGCTATTTGCAAGTATCTGATAAAGTCCAATGAGGAAAATATTACTCCTGAAACAGCGTTCTATCTCGCCTCTACATGGAAAACTATTGCAAGCTGTCCTGACTTTCCTACAGGTGCTTTGACAAAGGTAATATACGATAACGGTATCAATCGTGAGATACATAAAATGACCAATATAATGATGCATCAAAATAACTTTCGTTCTACTGCACAAACAGTGAAGACAATTATTATTACTGAATGAAATACTTCGTGAGATAAATATATTATCTGTGAATCACATAGAATGTTACATGAGAGAATTATGTTCACACAGGTATTGACGAGTATTGTACAGAAGGATACTTCCACGCTGCCTGATTTGTATTACGCGGTGAGTGGCTTAACGGCTTTGTCACAGAAGGTACCCGCTGCCAGAGTCGAAAAGTTGGTCAAATTAATACAGGCGGCCTTGCGAAAGGATGATAGTCTGTGGAAGTGAGTCGCTACATATTTATCGGCGAATTCTCTGATATCTTTTTTCGCGAATAATACGAGCTGATTCAATTTTACTTCGTTAGCTTGGGCTACACATTCCACATTGCCGCAGACATAGGCGCTCCAGCTGCATTTGCTTTCGACCGCATTGAGGATGCTGTAGTGCAAGCCGACGAAGTGGATGGCCAATACTTGCAATTCGAGGGTGGCCTTTCCATCACAAGTAGGGTTTTCAATCTTCTTGTAATCAATCTTTCATCCTGGATATTTGACTTCAAGTATTAATTCACTTCAAACGTTTCCTCAGGCTTCCTCGTCAATGGTATTCTCAAATTATCAACCTCGTTGAACAAGAAACTACCGTTGAACTTCCAGCAGATCGTCAAGTTCAGCAATTATATTCTCTCGCGGCGTTCCGTGCAGACTTCGAAGGGCGTCACGAACTTGCTGTCTGCTTTAACTACTCTGGCCGTTGAAAGTCCCGAGAAGCCCGTTTGCATAACCCTGGCTGATGGGGGAAACAGTGTTTCTAATCAGCAACCATTGGTCACAGTCAAGGTTTGCGATATCCTCGGTCAGGCACTGCCAACTGTGCCTAAGGTTGTCGCCAACTCCGCCACGAAAGTGGGATACGATGTAGTTGTCTTGAATAAGGAGAATTTGCAGCAGCTCCCAACTGACAAGTAAGCGAAATTCGATAGAATGCATTTATTTTACAAGGAGTCAGCTTTTCGATTCGCATGGATATCACAAATTATACGTACAATACATACTTAGTCCCCAATACTTTACTGAATTAGCCTTTCTATGCTGATATCAGCTATACCTTGGGGTATAGTCACAGTTGTTGAGTCCCTTAAACCTTCTTTGATATATAATTAAGGTTAAGAAATTCAACATACATTTTTATTTCTCCTAAACATATACTTCATGTGTTATATACTTCAACGTGACATGACGTTCTGCGTGTTTCTTCCGTAGAACTCTGTTCACGATGAATCTTATGAATGTCAAGCCTGACCGCGGTTTCTACAAGATATCGATAACTGCAGCGTCCGTAACAAATACGATTACCGTGAAGGTCTTGTCTGAAACGATACTGGATTATCTGGAAATCGGTACTGGCGATGCCGACCAAACTACTCAGCCGAAACTCACGAGGTACTTATGTAATTTCTTTTTCATGACTTCCTACAACATTTTACATTTTTATCGAGAGAAATATACAGGTGTCGCGCTTTAATTACAACTTTTGCCTAAAATATTTTTTCTACGATTTTTACAAAAAACTATTTTAGACAAAAGTTGTAAAGTTTCGAGGGAGAGAATACCGTGACCTTAAATTGCCCTTGAATGGCGTTTTTCAAAGTCAACTTCATTTTTTTTTTTTTAGAATCGCATGTATGTTTCACATTTTTTTGTGTTTCAGGATAAACACAGTATCCCCTTCAGGCAAACTCGAGCACAAGGTAGAAGCTGATTCTCAGCAGAAACTAGTCATGCGATTTTTACTGCGAGACTCCGCCAATAAGAAACCGATGCGCGTGCATCAAGCCTTTGTGCGTCTCACGTCTGTTGCCGAGTCTAGCAATAACAAGCAGCGCGGTCATGAAATTTTCTTCGTTGCCGAGCCTGACGCTAATCACGTCTATAAATTTGATATGGTAATTTTCCAAGTTCTCATGTTGTTCCTTTCACACAGACTCGTTCCAATACGATGCGAATGTTTCAAATGATATTTCAGCCAGTGGGAACAGCAGCTGTGAATTTCGGTCATCAGAGCGGTGATTATGACGTCGAACTGATCATTGGCGACGCGGTGATCAGCAATCCATTCCGCTTCAACATCGGCACGGTGACTTTGAAGTTCCCCGAGGTGACCGCGATGGAAGGTACCGACAAAAATACCTCTTATAAGCAGAAGCCAAACGTGTACACCACCAAGCCGGAGATCAAGGTAATTCTTTCATACGCTTGTTTAAGCCTATGTAAAACACGCCAATGCTCGTTAGTGGCAAAGATCCCTCGATGATTTTGTCACCTCCAAAACATTGGCAGAGGAATGTGTCAAAGTTCATATACTATATTTCCAAATATGATACTGTTTGGTGGTATTCTTCGTATCTTGACGGACACCGGCTCTCGTGAGACAAATTACAACTGTCGTTCAATTATTTCTCCCTAAAATCTACCGTTGTATTTTTCATTTCAGCATATGTTCCGTGAACCCGAACGTAGACCGCCTGCCTTTGTGTCCAACCTCTTCACGGGGCTGTGTTTGTCACCGGTCTTGCTGTTGCTGATCTTATGGGCACGACTAGGTGTCAACATTTCAAATTTCCCGCTGTCTCTCAGCGCAATTGCATTCCATCTCGGATTAGGAGGTAGATCTCAACCCTTGCTAACATAACATACGTATATGTTACACCACGCGCCCGATTTTGCTTGACAGATGATGATGTACACGAGTCTTGTCTGTTTTCTTCGGGCGTATAGCAAACCGTGATGTTTTCGCAAATGTGATCGCATTCATCGCCACATTTGTAGCCCGTAATTCACTACAAACCCTCACTAATTTGCGCGTATCGTAGAACCTCTCCTTCCTTTGTAAATCCGCCGAATAAATTTAGTTTTGCCGCGACATCGATGCGATATTAATTAATCTTTGGTGGTTGTCTCATTCGTAGGTATTTTCGTACTGTTCGGTATCTTCTGGCTGAAGCTCAACATGTTCGTCACGCTGCGATACCTCATCGGTCTGGGCGTCGTTACATTCCTCGCCGGCAATAAGATGCTGTCTCACATAGCGCACAGGCATACGTCGCAACGTTGAGCCACGCTTGGACATACTACGAAGACTCTGAATATCGTGTCGCGTGATCGCGATTGACAGTGCAGGAGAGAGAGTGCGTAATACATTGACTAAAAGACTGCCGTTAGTTTCAAGTGGCCGATATGTAGTAAAAACAAAAGTAATCGTCGGGCTCTTTTCTCTTTTTCACTTGCCACAGATGTACATAGAGCACGAGATATCGTATATTTTGTTTATTGCATTTCTCTACTGTTCTTTATCGTTCAACGGCGCGAGAAGACGCGTGGAGACTCCTGTTTTTGTTTTATTTTCGCGTCAACGATTATATAGACTTCTGATGATCACTAAATTCTAATCTTAGCCCGCAAATTCGGATTTCTGCTCTGCAAAGCACGACTATAGCGATAGTTGTTCAAAGAGAACTATCTCTATAACCTTTACCTATGTCGTTATATTTTTAAGTAATAATATCACACACACACACACAGAGCAAAGAGTAAAACAGCGAATGTTAAGTTTTGCGTTTACATTCGGAACAAATGAGTTATATAAAATTTTATACGTATCATGTATATGCTGAAGGCTGCCACTGTAATTGCAGTGTCCTGCTTGGTGAAGTGGGGTCGTTAAGCCTGCAGCTGCATTAAAGAAAACGTGATAGAATATGTTCGTCTCAAAGATGGGGGTAACATTAAATTATTTTATATTTTACTCCACTCTTTCCTCTTACCTTCCGCGTCATGTAAGAGTGAAGACATTCGCGTAAACGATTCGCTTCGCTCCTCAATTCGTCCCTCTCCGACCGCAATTGTACAGTGCTCACCTGCGCAACGCCGACTCGTCGCCAGAAATGCGTCAGATCTTGATAATCTTCCGCGATCTGTTACGAAGCGCTTGTAGGATGATTTTCCATGATATTTTCATCGCGTATTTGCAAAAATCAAATAACCTGATGAGCCACGTCCAAGTCTGAAACGGAGGCTTGCTGCGAAGAGAACGTTGACGAGTCTTCCACCTGCGTGCAATAGCCGAACGGAACTACCTTTTCTTCTTGCGTCTCGTACTTACGACAGATTTGCATCAATGTGAGCAGCCGTTTGCCTTTGGTTACGAGTTGTCCTAAACGTCTCATCACCTTATTATATTCCATCGTCATGATCTTCAACTGATCTTGATCCTTCGTTTGCTCTAAATGATCATTTTGCGTTTCCTTCAATAAAGAATCGTTTAAGGTAACGGTCCCATTTACGGGTCGAGTCCCAATTTCGGGTCAATTCCGCTCATTGTATCGTGTATTTAAAAAGTATACGTTATGATGAAAATCGAATATTTTTTTACATTCTTTAGTTCATTTACAATTAATGTATTCTAAGGTCACAAACAGAAGCATATTGTAGATATTTAAGGAAAAAATGTAAGATATCGTTTATCTACCTATACCGTATATTATACTTAATAAAGTGATATGAAATCTGTATTTCTTAAAAAATCTGACATATATTTAATACGTGTATTTTTTCTCTCGACCCAGAATTGGGTGTAGCATGACTCGTTATAGGGACGCGACATAATTTACCGACCCATAATTAGGACTTGCGCATTAACGTTTCTAATTATTTTCTATTTAGAATCATTTAACTTAAATTTACATAATTCCGTCTAAAACACTATGAATGTTTATCGTTTACATTAGTATTCCTAGTTTCTTTTAATATTTGATCGTTGAGTTTTTCTAAATGAATGAAAGTTTCTCTAACTTTAAATGGCTTACAATTAGGAGAGTTACCTTATTGTAACAAGTGATAACGTACTGCAGACAATGCATAGTTTAATCGTATTCAGAAGTTATGGGATATATATTTTTATAGAAACGTTAATATTGATAGAACCGCCACTTTTACTTCGCTAATCTTTAAAAATGTTACAAATCATATAAGTTTTTGTATTAGTTAATAGTTTTCTCGGAACTTTTATCATTGTAAGAGTCTGCTTTATAAAAAAGAAAAATTTATTTCATTCATGTTCAAGTGTTTTATTTTTATCTTAAACTGCCAAAGCCGCCAACATGGCGCTTGCTAGTAAACACCGACTATCAATAACATAACATTAATATTATAGATTTCTCACTCAATAATGTAACTATTATGTAACATACGCGTTATATTGCATTAACATTATTGAGTGGAAAATTATTACATTACAACAGCCATTGGCGTTTAGCAGAGAAAGCAGTTTTGCAACTATTGTAAAATTCGTGAATTTAATTGGTGTATATTTTTAGATTCCATCAAGATTGAAAGCATACGCCAATCGTACTGACGAATTTTGCAACAGTTGCAAAGCTGCTTTTTCTGCTGAACGTAGCCAATGAACGAACTGAGAGACCTTGCGGCGATTGTTCACCTGAGAGCGAACGATTCTTCATAGCCCAGTAAGTGTTTTGGAAGAAATCGTGCTCCGTTCGGATCTCGGAAATGTCCTTCTCAGCTGCGGCGTCATACGTCGCTATCTTGCCCCGAAGATTTCGTATCTCTTCGAAGAAGTTCGCCGTGCGCGTTAATTGCTGCGCTATCACTTTCCGATCTTTCTCATCCTTCTCTTTGAGCGTCTCGTAACATTTCCGGCGATCCTTTGTTCCTGACGAGTGACGAGTTTCGACCGATAAGCGTGGAAAAGACGAGTTAGCGAAAATGTTGGCTAAATAGAAAAAATGGTAAATGCTCGTTTACTGTTGTGGTAATCCGACAGGATTTGTCGCAGGTTGTCCCACGAGCTTTGCAATTGATTCTCCAGATGACCCGCGGAAATTCTGTAAACATCCTTGCTGTCTTGCACGAACGCGTCGATCTTACCTTTTCGAATTGACGATGCGATCTGACTTGGTCTAATACCGATTTGTTAAAATCTTTTACGTGGAAATCCGAATCGAGACGATCACGTCGTTTCGAAAATCGAAAAGCAACTACAATTTTTATTTATTAAAATTTGCCCACATTTAATAACATCCCTATAAGCGCGTAATATTCCTATAATATTATTTAAATATTATTAAAATATTAAAATAATATTCTTAGAATATTTAAGGAGCGTTATATAATATTTTTTAATACTATAGAAATGCTCTATTAATCTTAATCTCAATAACATTAAATAATATTAAATAATATTAGACGCTTATAGTGATAATCAAGTTATTCGCATCGACTGCAATTATAGTCATCATATGTATTACCCCGATTTCGAATTGCGATTTCCAATCTGCAACACGTGTAAAAATAAATGTAAAACCGAACAACGCACAGGTGGGAATTTTAAGGCATAAAAAGTGTAGTAGTGTGAGATTGATAACATTACTGAGTGTAATGCTTTTGATGTTGTCCAATGACCCCTCTCGCTGTCGCTCAATGCCGCGAGTGATCGACTCTAGGAAGATCTCGTCTTCGTTCCACTGATGATTGATTTTGGCGACTTTGGCGTCCGCCTGACTGACCGCCTCGGCCAAGATTCTTTGGTACTCCCGCTCCTCGCGCTGCATTCTCTTCCTATATACGCAGCGATGAGCTCAAGGCACACGGGAGTCGCTTCGAGTGTTATTTGAGAACCTTCGATTTCAACGTTCATTGCTACCTGCATTTCTCCAACAGTCGATCTATAATCTCGGCGTGTGACCTCACGTTCCTCTGATACTGCTCCTCGGCCTCGTACAACGCATCCATTAAGAAGCTTATCCTGCAAAGATACGAATATATGAATGCGAGAATTTATTTTAAACGGATGATATATTAAAAGTTACGAAAGTGCTTGGTCGCTTATCTGAGTTCGATTAAAACAAGGCAACAGACACGTGTAAAATTGGTCATGGTTATGCAAGAAGTATCCAAAATTATGACTTGAGATTTTGTTACCAATAGGTGGTCTATATGTCTTTCTACGTGAAATAAAAAGACCCGAGCCCCTAAAATTAATTAAAAAAACAGCTTTTATTTTCTACTAATTGTGCCATTTTTACTTGTTGCCTCTTTTACTCATTTTTTTTAAGTTAAATGATTGTGAAGGACCTCAATGCTATTTATACTTTTTAAATCGCGTATTAAATTTTTATCTTTGATTTCAAAAGAATGTTTTAATTTTCATCATTTTCTCAAAATATACCCCATGTGAGTTGAATCTTTCTTGCATAACTATTTATTTGGCCAGCCAGCCTGCCGATCGATATGAAACTTGGAATACAATGACCTGTAATCCTTGATGTCAACAGCTCGCTCGAAGTTGCGCCACGCGATTTCCACATCCGCGGTTATTTGCGGCATTTTGATCCTCATCATCATCTCTCGCCATAACGTGCGATAACGTTTTGTATTTAAAGCACCGAGCTCGATCTCTCGCATAACAGCTTGCTTTCTCAACATTTTAGCACGTTCCTCAGCCTCACGTTGTCTCGCTTCTTGCCTTGCCTTCCTGCCCGCTGCTGCTATCCTCGCTGCTAGTTCCTTCGTCATCATAAGAAAATTTATTTATTCTATAATTTTCTTAATGTGCTTCTTCACGTCGGCAACATTTTGAATAACACAATGTTTGTTATTATTCTCTTGGACGAGGAGTTCTTTTCAGAGCACAGAGATTTGAATTAAAAAATGTAGCAACGTCTTACTCACCGGTGAAAGCATCTTTCAAATGATGTTTCAACGAAATTGTGCGTGTAACTTGATGTGAAATTTTTAGGCTAAGTTCTTCCGACGTGGCACTCGTGTTTCCTGTGATTTTCTTATTTTACACATGAAGGAGAGAAAAGTACAACAAGTGTCTCGACAAAAGATAGAAACTTCTTGTTTAATAAATGCGTCTATTAACCCTTTGCACTCGAGGGCTCCGGAGCGGAGCCATTTAAAATTTGTCTTCAAACTCGAGGGCTCCGCTATGGAGACAATGCAAATAACTTTCAGTTCATAACATAAGGACAAAGACAAATCGTAAAAACTATTGTGTATAGGATATTCCGCTCTTGCTATTTGCATTGTCTCCATAGCGGAGCCCTCGAGTTTGAAGACAAATTTTAAATGGCTCCGCTCCGGAGCCCTCGAGTGCAAAGGGTTAAGATTCCTGAATACTATGACTATCCTTCTTTGATGACGTCAGAAGCGAGGAAAATCATGCACAATGTATGTGATGATTTACGTGAAAATAAAAGAATATACGCACAAAATAACACTCGATGATCGATTCACACTTGTAAAAATGTCCGGACGTTTTCCTTTAACTTGAATAATTAATTAATTAAATAACCGTAATATTAGTGTAATAAAAACAATGAAAAAAGATAGATTAGAAACATAAGTTGATGTTGCACTAATTTACGGATATTTATTAATTGTTCAGATTGAAAGAAAGCGTTTGTACATTTTTACAAATGTGCGATCACGAGTGTTATTTTATAGGTATATTCTTTTCTTTCCACGTTTTATACCGTCACGTAAATTGAATTAAAAATGGCAGGATTTTTCTCGCTTCTGAGAAGTCATCAAAGAAGGACAGCCACATCGAGTACCCAGTAAGCAAGAAATCATTAACACAACGTTATTAGAACAATATTTTATATAATATGTAACGCTTTCAAATATGTAGTTCTTAACACTGCATACTATAACGTCATTGTTAATAATATTTAATCGAAATATTAAAAATAATGTTTCTACGATTCCATGATTTTATAATATTTAAAAACATAATATTATCAAGTAACAGTTTAAAAATATTTATAAAATATTATGTCAAAATGTTTATGAAATCCACATAAAATTGATGTTTCAAAAGATTGATTTAACGTTTCTTGTTTATCGGCTATCCAGAATCCTTAACTATATTTCGCATATTTTTATCGGATAATTTCTATATAATCGTATAATAAAATAAAACGATAGATGCGTTTGCGTAACGTACTACAATTTGCATGTGTTATATTCAACGGCAATATTTAGCCGCTATACTTAACTCGGTGTCAATAATCGTTTAAGATGTGATATAAGGAATAACGTAATAAGACGCGAACAGAAAGGAAAGTGTGATAATTTGGCGATTGCAGTGGTGTAATCAAATTAACATGTCGGCTCTACAGTGACCGGCTAATTAAACGATGACGAGGTCGTTTTACAAGGTGATTTACAGGCATAAAATAAAAAAAAGCTAGTTAGCCGATTCAAACGACATGTAGTGATATGTGTGCCGAGGCGAACGAGATCTTAATTTTTCATACAAGTTTTCAAAAGATATCCCCGAAGAATTATAGCCGTATTAAAAATAGTGACCCAGATCTGCAAAAGCCAATTTTGTAATGCAGTCTGCTGCGGACTCTGTAAGCAACTTACTGGCAGGAAATATAACAGAATCTGATGACATAGACTGATAAAAACGCAGAAATCGAGCAGGATTTGTCGTTGCAATGTATTTAAATGGGACATACTGCAGATCCTGCTCGCTTTCTGTCGTCAATTTGCTATCAGATTCTGTCGGAAGGCTTTGTCGACAGAACAACAACAGAGATTGTAGGTTGTACACACAGATGACTATGGATCTGTTCCCAAATAGAACACAAAGTTATATAAAAGTCAAGATGACATCAAAAAGTAAACATTTATAGAAAACCAAAGTGATGCCATTTAGTACCTTAAATACTTAAATAATTGTGACCTTTTGTTCTGCTTGCGCATCAACGGATGCTCAATCTGTTGCCAATCTGTCATCAGAGGGGCTATTATGATTCTCAAGACAGGTGCAAATGACAAAAAATAAGCAAATTCGCTAGATGTTGACCAATGAAATTATAAATATTCTAGTAAATCCGCTCATTTTTGTAATCTTCACTTCGTCTTGAGAATCATAATAACTCCCAAACTGCTAACAGATTGTTCGTGGGAATATTGCCTGCACGACACAGTGGAATCAATATTTCTAAAGCATTTCTAAAGCTTCTTCTAAAATCTTTTCAATTTTTTACGCGCAAGAGTCATCTCATCGTTTGGCTATTTTTACGGAGTGAGTCTATATACTATGTATGCAAAGTTGTAAGCAATTTCTTAGATTAATATATCACTGATTCTTAGTTTCTCGACACGATAAACAAGCTACGAGGTTTCGTTCAGGAAACCACACACGAAACATCACGTGTTTAGTGGCAAAGTTCCTCTGTGCCTTTTTGAACGTGCGTTCTCTCGCCAGGATCCGGGAAGACGTGAAAAATATCGCAGTCCTTTTCATTGAAATAAATTACGACGACAAGACAACGGTTCTTTTATCGCGCTAATTAACACTTCTAATAGCTCTCCTACGTCAATGTTTAATGTGTAAATAAAATTATGTTTAACCTTGTAAACAGCAACTTCTTGAGAATCCCGATTGGTATTTCCCGTAGGTTGCTTCGCAGTATCGCATAATCTTAACATAGGAATAATAAATGCGGATGGATAAATTTCTCCATCCTATTTACCATTTATCAGAAACTTCAAAAAAACAAAAAGCGAGAATAATTCTTCCGTGCCGCGACTAAAATGCGAGCGCCACACGCCATTAACATTTTGCAATATTAATGTTACATACAATCGGAATGCTTGAAACAGAAGATGAAACGAAGCGGATACGATAAATATATTAGTAGGTATATTAAGTATAGTCAACGAAAAAATCGATAAATAAAATATTTAAGCAATAGCGACACTGGATAAAACGGGTTCGTAAACAACGGAATTAATATTCCCTTGACTGAAATTCTTTCAGGTTACGCCTAGAATCATTCATGTATATATTAACATTCATGCGTAGTTTCGAAAAAAAAAACAAAACAAATGTAGAAAAAGATTGACGATGTGAATACAGAGTGTTGCAGAATCAAGAGAACCATTTGTCATCCGAAAAAAATGGATGTAAGATACACTATGTATACAACAATTAAGGGAGCACTTGACAGTCTAAAAAAAAAAAGGTTTTAAAGCTTGAAATCTACTTTCGAATGATTTCTATCTACCGTAAAGAATTGTTTATCGAAAATAAACTTTTTGCTTCCTCTTTTAACCGTTGATAACTCGAGAATGAGAAATTGTAGAGAAATTGCGTGTTAGTCTAATTTGGAATCAGTTTCTTTTCGACGATAGCTTACACAACGTAAACAATTGAATTAATTAAATATGATCAAAAGAATCTGTAATTTGAGAATTAGTTGCAAAATACACCCAACGAGATCGAAGAGTCGTGACAAGAACGGTAACCTCTCACATTAAGAAAAAGCCAGATCTAAATTAGCCGGACAATTCACAAGCGATAGGTGATTCGTTAAACTTGAGATTACCTATACGCCATATATGTAATATGTTTTTCCAGTTTGTGCGGATTTATCACATTATTTTGCATACCATTTCCAATATGGAAACAACTTTATATTACAGAAAAAAAATCGCGCAGACATGCAAAAAAAGTCAATGATCCGGATGGGAACCGGAATTCCCTGAAGATCCATATGCTAATTCTCGTTCAGTATTTCTATTCATTACGCAAAACTTGCATAATTTATCGCCGAAAGGCACATCAGCGCAGCAAGGTCACAACGAACCTGCGGCTCGTCCCACGCGTGAACTGGCGGATTCACTCACGCTTTTCATCGATTTCCGCTCACTTATCAATGCAATAAATGTCATTTTGCTATGTCATTATTATTCAAAGTAACGCGACGTTTAGCCGCTTCATCATTAACGTTATTGTTTCATTCTTGACATTTCAGTTTGAATGATGCTGAACGACGAGCGTTTGAGGATCTCGCGAAAGATACCGTCACAGCATGAATAACAAATCTAAATGCAAGCAAGTCATTGCGAAAGCGCACAACGCGACCTTGTCGCAGTACGAAGGCTGCGGCTGCTGCAAGGAAAACAAGCCGAAGGGCTCTCGTGAAAGTCGACGGACAACGCCCGAAGATGAGATCGAGCGAGGAAGTTAATAACGACAGTTAATGCGGCGTTTCGATTTCGAGATCGGAATTCTTGTCGAGTCACTGGATGGGTTCAATGTCAAACCTGAGGAAACGAGTCCTCGGCCGGTTGTCGAGGTGAGACAAGGGAAAGAGAAGACGACGAGGCGAGCGGCCGAGTCGCCACTTCTGGCAGGAAAGAGAGATGTCTTTCCGAGGAATTTGTTGCGAGTTTCCGGTGGTAGGGAGCGGCCGTTGGATCTCGTCGTATAAAAGTCTTTGGAAGCCGCTGTTCCGAGTAGAGTTAGTCCGTTCGAAAACGTGATCTCGACAAGGTACGTAGTACAACGCCGGTACCGAACGCCCGATACGGATCAGCCCGAGCGGACAAGCGGAACTCGCATCCCTCGACTTCCCAAGATTCGTGTTAAAATTGGAGCAAAATGAGAACGCCAAGCTTTCGATGCAAACTCGGGCGAAACACTCCCGGGGATTTCTTTTATTTCAACAAATCAGATATGTTTCTGAGTCTTTAAATGCAGATCGGTTTCGATTAGATCGGTTTCGTTCATTTGGCCGCGCACTTTTATCCGACACGCGGCAAACTGCAGAATACAAAATTGCGGGTTCCGTTTCTCCCTGCCTTTCTCTCAACGATTATATTCTAGTATGCGAGAAATCATTAATACAATTACTATTTGTTACTTATTACAATGATATTTTGTAACGTGTAACGTTTTCAAACATGTAGTTCTTAATGTTGTACACAACATTATTGTTAACAATATTTGAGCAAACATTAAAAATAGTAATTTCTATATGATAATAATTTCTATATGATTTTATGATTTTAATATTTCAATTATTAGGAACATTATATTATCAACGATTTAAAAACATTTATAAAATGTCAAAATGTTTATAAAATCCACATAACATCAACGTTTCAAAAGGTTGGCTTAATGTTTCTTGCTTACCGGTTATACCATATCCGAAACATATCCGAAATATGGCGAGCGAAACTTACGTAACGTCATATTGATTAATCGATCCTGGATTTAGAGAGCATCTAGATCAAGTAGGTCAAGTATAAATAAGATAGTGCTGCGTACATAAAGAAAAAGGTTTCTTTGACTTGGGTTTGCTTAATATAAACAACATAATTTAATATCAAATATTTTGTTCAAATGAAAATATTTGTTTCACCAGAAGTAAACTATGTTGTTTGATGAAAAAAAAAACAGTATTATTTAGAGGAAATAATATTTCGTTTTCAATAAAAAAAAAGTTATACATTGAATATTACTCCATTGAAACAAAAAAGTTCTTTAATATTTTTCTAAAATAATGTTACTTCCCGAACAGCACAAATTGCTCAGCCAATCGTTGTCTTCTCGGGTTTTTTCAAATAAAGAATTTTATTCGCTTGTGACGACCATTGCAATGTTTGACTATGAAAATACAATTGTCGGGCAAAATACAAAAGAAACGCGTTATTTAACGTAAAGTATTTATTGTGTTTGAAAAACCCAACAATCCTGTTTGAATCAAATATTCGTTTGTTTCCTCTACTCCGAAAAGACAAATTTGCTTCAGTTAAAGAAATTTTATTAAATCCAAAGAAATCTTATTCCTTGTGTAGGCTCACTGGCCTTCGAATTCCCCGGCTCACTCTCTTCGGATTCAACACCGTTTCGCAATACTCTCGATGTCGTTAAACCGACACTAGACGAACGCACAGTTTAAATTTATCGCTTGTGTCTCACTTTTAGATGGAAACAAGGTCCATCATAGTGTTGATCGCCATGCTGGCCGTGGTCTACGGCCAGGCAGAACAGCAAGAAGTCCCGCAGAAGACGTTGGTGGCGCCCGAAAGGACCGTCGTCATCGACGGTCAGTCTGAGCCGCAATCGGACGTAGAACGCTATGCGCCGCAGATACGTGACAAGAGAGCGCCTATTCTCCTGGGAAAGGCTCTTCTGGGCGGTGCCATCCTCGGGAAAGGCGCTCTTCTTGGCGCTGGAGCTCTGGGCGTCGGTGCTCTGGGCGCCGGTGCTCTGGGCGTCGGTGCTCTGGGTGTCGGTGCTGGATTGTACAAATCCAAATAGTAAGTAACTTCTTTCATCTCGACGAGAGACCCGCGTGACATTTTCGCGAATACCGCGCGCACCGAGAAAAAGATTTCTTGAAATTTAATCAATTTCATTGCATCCAAATAAACTTCATCATTGGCACGCTCCAAAGAAACTCACGTTTCGATTGATAAGTACGATTTTTATACTCTTCAACGAAGATATGTATCTTTATCTTAAATAAAAAATTCGCTTGAAACGAAAGATAATTTTCTTATAAAGAAATTTGGTTTCATCTTACATATTTATTGCAACCAAAGAATATTTTGTTTGGTTGAGATATTTGTTCAAATAATAGAGTTCTCTTGAATAAGACGATAAGATTTTTACTCAAACAAATAATATTTCGTATATGTTGTTTCTGTGAAACAAATTTTGGTCAAATAGAATAGAAATACTAAATCTAAAGGAACCTTTTTCTCTGTTTGTATATTCTTCCTCGCGTTCCCGACGATATGCTCAAATTTAGCAGCATTTAACGTCTCCGTTTTAAATAAAAACATCGCTCAGAATTGGGATCCTCGAGTTGCAACTCGCAAGCGTCGCGTCGCGCATCGAGTTGTACACGAAACGAGCCTCGTGAACGACGGATTTTTATCGCACTCTTACGCGAAATCAGTTTGAAAAAACGACGCAATTAGAATTAGCATCGAACGACAAAAAGGAGTGTGAATCAGCGGAAAGACCTCACACGCTCTCTCGTTGACCACTGTCGCCGATGTCTGCGTCGTCGTTAGTCCAATTTTCGCAACGCTAATTGAACCTCGTCTCGGGAGTTTGCTAAAGATGTTAGAGACCGAAGACTGGTCGACGATTTTGGTAAAACGATCTTCTTTTTCCAGCTACGGTGGCTACGGAGGCTACGGTGGCTACGGCGGCTACGGCGGCTACGGCGGCTCTCCCTATCATTATCACAATCACTATCACCACTATCCTCATTACCACAACTACGGCTATGGCTATGGATCGGGATACGGCTATTACGGATAGATTTGACTGATTCCAGTACGTTAAGAGTGAGTTTAACCAAAGTTTCTTCATTTCTCAAAATGAAAAATATCGTACAAAGAAATACGTCTGTACTTGAAAAAAGAACGGGGATCGATGTGTGCCCACTTTCAGTTTCTATTCGTCACAACCTCGGAATTGACAAACTATTTTTCTTTCGAAGTACAGATACAGGTACACAGATGCAATATATCACATGTGTCTTATAGTTCTAGATCTCTTAAACTGATGTTACTAAAAAAAACACTATTTGATGATTACTTGAAATACATTCAGCGCAGTGACCAATGTGTTTTCTTGCAGATTTCGCCGATGAATGGAACTACCTGCTGTACAAATTCACCGGTACCTTTGATTTAGACGATCGTTATTTATTAATGATAACAGCTATGTCTTTTTTACAAGGTACCCCTTCGGTACCGCTCACTTGGGTTAGTTATAATTTGTATCTACTAATAATTTGATACGTTCTGTAAAAAAATAAAATATATATATATAATTTTAAATAAATTTGATTGAAATCAATTTTTTCACAACCAAAATTTATTATAATTAGAAATCTGATTGAATCAAATAGAAAACAAAAGGCAAGCCAGGTAAGAGCCAGATACTGGTGGTGTGAACGTCCTTTGAAATCTGATTGAGCGAAACCAGACGTTGCACGTTTATGATTTAATCAAGCGCCTAACACGTCTAATGTCGCTGGTCTGTACTGTCGCGTTTTCGTATTCCTCACGAGGACAATCTTCGATTTCTTATTAATCATTTCCATTAACGGGGGCAGCGTAACGAAGCCCACGCCCATGCCTTTCGCGCGAACGAACGAGAAACCGCCCGCCGTTACATATCCCATTATTTCTCTGTCACAGGAATAGCGAACCTTCGTGCATTCCGGCAGATACATTTCCGACATTCTCTTTGCTTGCTCCGTTATAATTTTCGGACGTAACGCGCTATTCAAATTTACAATCTTGCCCAAAACGTCGGTGGAATTTTCCAGTAAGTTGAGCGCGTTGTCCTTCAACAGTTTCTTCTGCCGAATGCTTTGCCGTTTCAACCGTTTTAACCGCAGCAAATGATTCTTTCGCGATACTTTACGAGCCGCTTCGTTTGGATCGGCGTGACACTGCTCCACAGGCCCTCCCCAATTCTCGTCCCTTCCCAGTCTCTCCAGGTCCTCGGGCGTCGGCATGCATATGATCGCGAACTCATTCGGGATACCCTTCTTCATAGACACTTGAACGCGTATCAAACAGTTTCTGTGTGTATTTAAATCCTGAAGGTCGACCGGGGTGTACGAGGACCTTGCGTATATCTTCCTGGAGCGAGATTTCAAGCTGGCTTGCAGAAGCAGCAAGAGCCTGATATCCCTCAGGACATAAAAATCTTCGGTGTCCGCATAATCCTTCATCAGTTTCCTCCAATCACAGTAGAAAGGGCTGCTAATTCCGAACTTGACAAAGTTGACCCTTCCATTTGGCGGATAACGGAAATATTTCTGAGTTAATTCCTCCTTTCTGCTTAATGCTTCGCTCACGTACGCAGGACAGTCAGGATCACTGACATCGGGTGTATTTGGATTTAAACTTTCGTACGCCATCTGCCTTGATTCTCGAAGAGCGCCTGTTCTCACGCATCGTTGTACGAGCGCGAGCCAAATCGGCAGTCCCCATGTGGATGGTATTACAATGTCTACAGAAGAGTCTATATCTATAAGAAGAATGTTTACTTTCTTGTATTTCTATCTATCTTTATCTATAAAAAAGAATTCCCTATAAACATTTATGTCAGTATCTATAAAAAGAATTTTTACTTTTTCGTACTTCTATATATTATTAAAACACAGTGATATGATTTTTATTACGCACCTGCCGCAGAACACTCGGGTCTGGGAATAAGGAGTATAGGTATCTTCGCCATGATATCTTCACCGAAATACTTATCATTCGCCACGCCAGGTACGAGACAGCCGCTTCTGAGATTGTTGATCTTGTATGTCGCCACGCAGGTGTTGCTCACCGTATGACGTATTTGTGCGTCCCAGATCGGAGTACAATGTAAATTAGCCGGCGCCCTTAAGATACATTGATAAAAGGTCGTTTCGTATTCACGTTTCGTTCTTTTGCTCAGGTAGAAGCGCGGATCCAAAATCGTTAGTCCCATAACGCTTTGAAGCAAATCGAGTACCTTTCTCGAATTAGAAGTCCTCATTTTCTGCCACATTTCCTTCTGGACTTTAAAAGCCTCCATGTTTTCTTGGTGTTTGTAGTATTCGATATGCCATGTTCTGTTACGGAGATCTTCTACATTCAAGGTTTTAGGAAGCGCTGCATCTTCCTCATTCGCTTCGTCAATCGCTATCTTCTCTACAGATTCCAGCACTTCATTGTCCACTGACTCCTTAGTTATATTTGTTTTATTGCCTAACGAGTCATCTTGTTTCCGCGTGGAATTCATTTCCTGAGAGAGGTCTGACTCAGTGAAGGATGGCGTTTGTAACGCATCTGTTAGTACGCTCAGAGTCGCCGGCCCGTAGAGTCGAAATCTATTTAATTTGTATCTCAAAATGGTCATTTTACAACCAGCGTCATTTGTGTACAAAGATCCCGGGACGTGCGTGGCGTCTTCTTCAGCATTGTTCTCTTTAAACTCGAAGCTTGATACAATCTCGCTGAGGAAATCAGCGTAAAAAGAAGGATGCACCCAGATCCAGATAGTTACGATATCTGACTGTTTTGGCCTCCAGAGAAAATGCACATTACCGATAGGGAATTGCGGATAACTGTTTTTCTTGAAGAACATCAGAGTGCCTTCGTTACGGCCATTGGTGTATCTTATTGCCGCAAAAGTTGACATAAACGGATTGCAATGTGCCTTCAGAGTTGTCTTCAACAAATCTTCTTGCCCTTTTATCTCTACGCAAGTATAGTAAGAGATATCTTGCAGCAGACAGTATTGCATCGCAGCTCGATAATTAGCTCTAAAACACTTATCGTTCGGGTAATTCGCAATTCTATGTCCCCACTTGTCGATCATGTGAAAACGCTTGGCGTGCCAAATATGGGTTTCCAACCAAATCTTTTTGAGTTGCCTGCGATTGTACTCGGCAAGTATATTAGACGGTCTCCTACGATATTTCCGAGAAGGTCTTTTCTTCTTTGCTGATAAACCTGATTTTGCCATTTGACTCAAATGAGCTTCCCGCAATCTGCGTGGCATTCTTTTAGCATTGTGTGACATTACACGTCTGCGCATATATATAGGCAGCTTTTGAAATATCAACTTGTTTCGGATTGGATTCTCTGCAAGTTATAGAGATACAGATATTTGACATTTATATATTCATGTTGAATCATGTAAGATTTAAAAATCAAAGTGATATAATATATAATATATAATATATAATATACAGAAGTTCTCGAGAATATATAGGATGTCCCACTTTAATCAACGCATTTGAATTTCTCCAAAACCATGCGAGATATACAACGATATGCGACTATACAACGAAGTTAAGATCACCAAAATATGTCCCTCTCCAAACCTTACAACTTTCGTCGAAAACTTAGACCCTGTTCAGCGCAAGTTACAGAGAAATACAATTATACAGGATGTCCTATTTTAACTTATCTTTTTTATCTTCGCAGAATAAGAATCGTCGAATTACAAGTATGTTCAAAAGTTGTAGGGTTTGGTTGGAGGGGGATAAAAGTTGGTGGTCGTAACTTTGTTGTATAGTCAACAATTCAAAATCATTTTAAAGTCAACTTCATTTTTTTAATGGAATTATAGTTTTTTTTTAACGCACATCGATTTATTTTGCGTACTTTGCGTATAAAAGTACTAGAATAAGATCGTCGAAAAGTGAATACTTTTTGATGAGATATTTTATTTTTGGTTCGGTACAAAAGAAAGATACGAAATATCTCATAAAATATTCACTTCAGGGTTAAGATATTTTATATAAAATACGTTAGTTAAAACAAGTATAATGTAATGAAATGTACCTAACATGCGAGTCATCGCAGCAATTTCACTAGCTCGTGCAGCAGCCACTTTCATAATAGATACTTCATGTGGGAGTGATTGGGAACCTCCCAAAAATTCGTCGAATTGTTTCTTTTCTGCCATGGCTCTTATTTTCTGTAAATACATCAAACTCATGTTATTTAACTTTGTGCATGTAGTTGGTGTTTTAAAGTTGTCATATTTTATAAACAATATACATAATATATATTTGAAACATATAATGTTTGCACTAAAGCTGGATGTTTACATGTAAAATAAAATAGTCTGAATTACAAGTAGACAATGTACATTATATATAATATGTCATCTACCTGAACAATAAATAATTTATGAACAGTTATGGAATGGTTCATTTTCTTTTTATATTTTGTAACCTTATTTTCATATTTTGTTCCTGTTAAAAGCTCACAAGTAAATCTGGATTTGACAAACTTGACTTCACATTGTAATACTTATTTCCTTTTTTTATCAATTTGAAATCAAATTCACGTAATCCACTATTGATTTATATGGCATAAAATACTGAAATTGGGCTTTTGTGTTTAAACTAAATGATTTTAAATTAAATATGTTCAGAAAAAGGATGAAGGAAGAATATATAGGACCACAAGGAGCCAAAGGATGGATATAATATGTACATATTATTTTTGTCAATATTAATATTATTGTGAAAGGATAAAAATGTTCAGTATGTAATGACACACGCCCTGAAGATACTCTAGACAAACATACGCAGTGAACCAGCCTTCCTTAAACCAATCCTTGAATCTCCTATTAATATCATTATCAATTCTAATTCCCTGAAAATCCTTACTCAATTGTTAAATTAATTAGTAAACAGTTTTTTGATCCCGCTTATCATATAGCGAGAAATCATGTTGCCTCAGCCAGGAGTCGAACCTGGATTTTCCCACTAACCAGGTGGGACGCCGTACCAATTTGGCCACTGAGACCTCGACGGTACTCCTTGCAACAATTAGTGGAATCAAAGAATTTTTTATTAATTAATTTGGCAACTGGATTAGGATTTTCTAAGGATCTGAATTTATAATATTATTGGAACTCTTATTTATTGTCTACATAAATGACACCCGTGTGTAGATGTAGACTATTGTAATTTACGCATAAACACCCAACTCTGCTGCAGAAACAAGAACTAAACAAGTACTATTTTAAAAAAATACATGATTTGCCAACAAACTTAGTCAAGGAAGCACGTGCATATATCATAACCTTTAAACAAACTTACCAGCCGGTAACGATAGTGGCGATATTAGCGGAAGATGGCAGAAGCTTTTCTCTCCAAGTAGTATGACTCAACGACAGATTGGACGAACTTTTCTTTTTATTTTCAAGTAGTAGGAATCGTCGAATGTGAGAGAACTTTTTTATTTTTAAATTATATATACATTAAGAGAAGAAGAGAAAGAGAAAATATGGATGTGTATATATTTACTTTATATATTTATTTATTAACTATTTAGACAGAGACGAGATTTTATACACAGAAAAATAAAATAAAGTGTATGTGTAATTAAGCACACCTCTTAGGCTGCGTTCGATTTGGTCGTTCACGCGCTGTAAATGACATTGGCCACGTTCAGCGGAAAGTTTAATTTGCAACTGTTGGAAGTTTTCTGAGTTGAGATTGGATTATTCTTTTAGATCTACAAGAATAATCCAATGTCAGCATAAGAAACTTCCAACAGTTGGAAACTTAACGTTCTGCTGAACGTGGCCATTTACGGCGCATGAACACACAAAACGAACGCAGCCTCGATCATATTCTACCTATAATCGTGGCATGCAGGTACGTGTGGATGTTTATCGTTTAGATACATAGCGATTTAAGATTCTAGTATTTTAAATATCACTGATTTGATTAATCTGATAAAAAAGATTTCAAATTTATATAAAGAAAGTTAACCAGGTGACGTCATATTATTTTTTTTACCTTTCATTACATTATAAGGATTTAATCTTTTCCGTTGGGAGACATTTCATCATAACACCACGTGCTATATCTGTTTTTCATTCTAGCGAATTATCGCATCGATGATAATATAGACTGGCTTGCTTCAAGAGTGTACTTTGCGAAAGACTTCACAGTGTTGTGTCAGTGTAATTTGAAATTGTTTGAGATCATCTCTTCACGATGAATAAAATAAGCAGTATACCGGGAAACTTCGACCTGGATGATCCGAGGTTTCGTATTAAACCGTATCAGCAGGTCGTAGCTTCTTGCACTGGTGCTTTTATCACATCAGTGTTCGGTAAGTTGATGTACTTAGATTTATTTGCGTATCAGCTATGCGATGAGTATTGTTGATATTTGAAAACATAATATTTGAATCATCACATGCTTGCAAAAATTGCAAGATTAAACTATGTTCTGGCATATGATATTTTTCTAAGTTATACATGTCTATTTTAAGTATAAAATAAAATATAATAAAGTAATAAAGTAATAAAATAAAATTTATTAATGCTTACAATTCTCCTGTTTGCTTCCAGTAACTCCTCTGGACGTAGTAAAAATACGTCTTCAAACACAGCAGAAAGCGATGCTTTCAAATAAATGTTACCTGTACTGCAATGGTTTAATGGATCACTTGTGTCCTTGTGTCAATGGTAAAATGCCCGAATGGATGAAAAGGAATGGAAAATTTAATGGAACAATAGTAAGTGTGATCAACTCAAGTCGGTTGTGATACGATTTAAACTATAACTTCAACAATCTCATTTGTCTCTACTTCTAGGATGCTTTAATAAAAATAAGTAAAACAGAAGGATTCACATCATTATGGAGTGGGTTAAGTCCTACTCTTGTTCTGGCTGTTCCCGCAACTGTTATATATTTTGTTTCATATGAACAATTAAGACTATATCTTAAGGTAAAGCTAATATCACATCTTTCTTATATTTTTGTCTGTTTACAAATTTATGAAATTTATATGCAATATCTTCTGTATTATCAATATTAACATTATAATATCTTTTCCTAGGATACATATAATAAAAAGTTTAAGAAAAAAACAGACAATACAGAACAACCCTTTTGGATTCCCATATTTGCTGGCAGCACAGCACGGATCTGGGCTGCAACAATAGTGAGTCCAGTGGAGCTCGTAAGAACAAAGATGCAGTCGCAGAAATTAAGTTATGCAGGTAGAACGAATAAACGATATCAATATGAAATGAAATGATGAAACTAGCAACGCAGCATTTCGATAATGTGAAATCTGTTCCCCATGTTTCAGAATTAACACAGGCATTGAAAATAGTTGTAAAATATAGCGGTGTTTCCGGGTTATGGATGGGATTAAGTTCTACACTTCTTCGTGACGTTCCTTTTAGCGCTATATACTGGCTGAATTATGAAACTATCAAGAACATATTTTCCAACTCGCAGCATACCTTTACTTTTAATTTCGTGGCAGGAGCGATAGCTGGATCTGTATGTATTTTTCTCTCTCATACACACACGTGTGTGTGCATGCATGCATGCATGCATGTACATATGTATGTTACAATATCTATATATCCCACAAGGTCTTGCTAAATTGGAAAAATGTTTTGCAGGTAGCAGCATTTTTTACTATTCCATTTGATGTTGTAAAAACGCACAGGCAAATTGAAATGGGTGAAAAAGAAATTTATTCAGGTGAATATCAACATATAATATCGTAGAAAAATCATTTTCATAATATATTTTGTTAACAATGTGTCTTTTTTTTTAGATAAGCCTAGTCGCAGTAGCAGTACATGGACCATAATACGAAGAATTTATCATCAAAATGGAATAAAAGGTCTATTCACAGGTTTGGCACCGCGCTTGGTGAAAGTAGCTCCTGCCTGTGCAATCATGATTGCGACTTTTGAACATGGTAAACGTTTCTTCCAATCGTATAACGCTAAAAAATTTCTCGAGTTCGAGATGGATCACGACATACATTTATTGCCACATAAATCTAATAGTACAGAATGACATGTTTATTGTAGTGAACTGTACTTAATAAAGATTAATTTGAAGTCTAGTTTCTGCTGTGCTCGCTAAGCTAATTCGTTTTGGTTTAAATTAGTAATTAATTTCTTGTCAATTCTTATTCTGTAGTATTCAATTTTGAAGTCATCTTGCACACACAAAAGATTTACTTTTCTATATACCTTTTTATATGTACATCATTCTTTTACATTTTATTATTTAAATAGATGGTAAAACAATATTTGATTTTTCTGTGGGATTCCACAAATATTAATCACAAAATTATCAATTCAATGTAAACAAGAGATGTTACAAGGCGATATTGCACTAAAACCTAAAAAAATAGTCACGTTTAAATATTATTTATTTTTGCACATCTTTGGAAATCCATAATATTATGTCAACACATGTCTCTTGTTCTAAATAAATATATTCCATTATTACTCCTTCTAAGATACCCAGAAATATTCCAAAAAGCACATCAAGTATGTGATGCCTTTTCATTAATAACCGGGATAAGCATACAGAAACAGACCATGCCAATAAAGGTGATGCAAATATTAATGAGATAGGCCATATGTAAAAAAAGAAATATGTAATAAACACAGCGCGAGAAGCATGTCCAGATGGAAAAGAATATTTATCAGGACCTATAAAAAATAGACTGTTATGAAGACTGGGTCGTCTTCTTCTTGTTATTACCTTTATTATGCAAACCAAAAGGATGTCAAGCAGCAATCCTGAAAAAATTGTAGTAGAAAAGTAATGCTGCTTTCTCCTGTTTATATACATATTTCACATCAATATTTTAAATAATAGTAATTATATATAGTTTACCTATCGTAAGGTTAACTTGCATTTGAGACAAGTTTTTGTTATCTAAGATCCAATTAAATGTGATAATAGTTACGAGCCAAGGTATACCATGACATGATAACTGAAGAAAGAAGAAATGTAAGTAATTACAATGAAAAAATTTTATTTGGTAAAACATACATAATAAGTAAAAAGATGGCATACCTCTAACATTTTATAATGCTCTTTCAACTGCCCCAATGGTAGATATTTTTCCATGAAGTTTACAAAAGCATTCGTCAAATACACATCCACTGTCAACACCATCCTCAATGATTGTTCAAACTGTCTTCCTTCAGTCTTAAAAATATAATTGATGGTAGATAAATAAATATATTTTATGTGTCTTTACAGATATAATTCTGTATATTGAGAAAAAAAGATAAGTTAGTAATTAAGAAAAAAATATATTGTTAATGTACATAAAAAAAATAACTAATAATTAATTAATAATTACATTAGGATTAATTATTTCTATATTAATAAATAGCATCGAACACAATGGAATGCGATAAAAAAGCTAATAATTACCGTTTCCATTATCTTTCACTTATGACAATGATCAGCGTCCAAAAGTCTGATGTAAGCAATATTAAATGACTTGCGGAAAAAATTTATTTCATAACCTTACAAGAAAATTAGAAAAAGATATAGAAAGTGTGATAAAGTGCAGTTCTAAACAGCAAATGTATCGTACGACTTTCAATTGCATTGATGGATAATAATGATTGCTCAGCTCCTTAATATCGATATTTCAAGAATCAAAATCGTTGCGATGTTCACTTAGTACTCCAACGGTTGTGCTCATCAGTTCGCAGTGGAAGATTCGTCCTTATTTCCTGCGGTTTTGACTTGCTGAAGTTGAGTCTCGTGCGTAAACTATTATCGGAAACGCCGCACGTAAATGCGTCTGTAATTACGCTATGACATCGTTAGCCGTCGAATATCTCGAAATAGACCACTAGTAATTGTTTAGCAAAATTTCGTTTATATGTCGCGTAATGACAGGAGTTAAAATCTTAATGAGTCTACATGAGTCTTTTCTGCTCAGTTTCACTCGTGCCACCTGCACGGGAATCAAGATTAGTTCGGGACATCCACTATACTCTGTAATAAATAAGCGAATAAACTATCCCAAGAAGGGGGTGGCGAGGTGGGTTCATACGAGACGTTGGCTGCGTAGAGAATTTACGTTTTTCGAGAATCGCAATCATTGCAGGGGGCTTACTTCAATATGGTCTCTTCCGAAAAGGTCGACGACAGGAAGGTATCGGGAAACCACTCCGTATTTCTCGCGATTTTTCAACCTGTCTGTGTTGAGTGTTTGCGTGCGGATAATCGACAGTATTGCCGCAAGTGTCGCGTACGTTTATCGTGATGTAGCATCACTAAATGATCGCCGAGAATGGATATCCTGCAAAACAGTCATCGAACCGAACTTTATGCGTGATCGACGCGTAGCGGCGACTTGAACTCTAAATTGCGCTATCACTGTCGACCTGCCGAAGAAATATGTCGCGCGTGTTATTGTCGGGAGTAAGTTTCGCGCATTTGCGACTAGTATAAATTTAATATGTGACTAGTATAAATTTAAATAGAAAGTGAACATTTAGTCGAAAAATATCTCGTGAAATCGATTATAAATAGCGCTAAGTGACGCGTTGGGAATATCCGAAGGTCAACTCGTTGCATTTTAAGCTATCAATCAATGAAAAAACCGGTGAAAAAACCGGTTAGTAAACTGAAAAAACTGTAATAGAGGACTTAAGAGTTTTACTATCGACTAGTATGGATCTATTCCTCAATTCAAATCAAACGTAAGACGATCGAATATAATGAATCAGAACAATTGTCTGTAATTTATTTATTATTTTTACAAGTCATTAATATATTCCCCATATGCCCCATGACATCTATTAGTGGTCCATATAAGCTCCACTCGACATTTATCTCCATGTTAGAAGTCACATAAATTTCTAATGGGAGTCCACACTTTGGACGTCCAGTACAAAGTCATCATAGACGTTCGAAATATCCTTAGGATTTCCTTAAATGGAAATTCCAGGCTTCATCTTTAATTCGACCAAATTTTACAATAAATTTAAATTGTTATTATTCCGTAAATGATCGGCTTATAACACGGAGGGTTTAAATGTTTCTCATATATTTACGGGACCTGTTTGATTTAGATTTTATTGATCTCTTTCCAGGAATAATTCGTGCATGCATCGACAAATTGTATTGCAAAATAAAAGCAATCATTGATTGAACCTATTGTTCCGACAGTCTTTGTCTTCTCTAGGTATTCGCACTTTGCGGCATTATCCGTCGGACCCTTGATCCCCATCGAATGATTATTCCCATAGAAAAACTGTATTAGAAATATCGTCTCGCTTTCGCGTACATTCGTCCTTCAACTCATCGTGCGATTTGTCGCGTATGTCGACTGCGAATATTCTTGTCATAGCGATGTGAATAGCAATGCGTATTAGTTCCGACTTTGTGATAGTAAACACTTTATATTCTCGGCGATAAATAGAAAGATAGAATGCTAAAAGGGTGAAAGCGACGATAAAATCAATCAGAGCCGAGTATGTACATATAGTGTACACATTGGTGAGCATATACCCGCACAGTTATCTGAATGTTCAACGTAACAGTCGCTGTAATATATTGGAGCGAGTATTTCTGCCAGATGTTAGTCACGAATCGATTGTGAAACCTTCGAGATTTTGAGATCACCAGGCGATGGACTTAAAGAGGAAGCGACTTCTGCCTTCTACAGGGCAGACCCTCGAAAAGATTTCACGTCTTTTCGGCATCAATCTGTCGAGTTACTTGGGCAGATTATACAATATCGCGGTTCTGGCGCTATACTGTTTCACGAGCCATTTGACTTGGCGTCAAATTTGCATTGAAGCTTGCGCGGAACACATTATTAAGAGGATTTTGACGACGTCGTATTATGTTCTACACGTCCTCTTAATACTGACGATGCTGGTTACATCTCTATTTCGTCCAAAGCAATTCGCTTTCCCCTACCAGGAAATGTTGGTCGTAGATTCTATACTCGAGTAAGTTTCTCTCTCATTCATTCGGATAATTAACTTTTATGTACACATCTGTACCTTGGAAGATAAACATCCAGTGTTCATTTTTTCAGCTTTTGTTACAGAAACATTAGATTTGTTGGAACGTACACTATATAATTATATTTATTAACTAAAATATTTTTTTGTAAATTGAAGGATAAAATTTGTGATTGATGTCGGCTTTTAAAATGTCCACACACAAGTGCTGGAATTTTTCTGTAACTCAGAAACGGAGAAATGAACGTTATCTTTGTTCCTTCTGAGATACACCTGTGTATATCCGGTAATATCTAATTACTTTTTATCTTGTTGTTCGAATGTAATAATGCGACTTTTTGCATTTATCGAATTCGTTTCTCGACTTTTCAGGTCGTACGGCGCGCAGTTTTCAAGTAAGGATATCTTTATCGCAAAGGACTTGCCGAATATCGTGATAATATCACTAACATTACTTATAGTGACAAGACTTGCTTATCTTACAATCGCACGTAATTCGATTTATTTCTTGTGGTATTCTATTCGTAGCTGCTATAGTCTTATCTGTTCATTACTTATGAGCGGGTTGTTCTGTTACTACGTGAACGATATATACTTGAGATTTCGCGAGTTAAACAAGATCACGATGAGACACTCGAGGGAGAAATTGACGATTTCTTACATTGATTTTACAACGGCAGGCGTATACGATAAACGAGACGACCTCGTGATTAGCAAGATTCGCTCGATTCAGCATATTCATCACAAGTTGTTCGTTTTAGCAACGAAGGTATTTATACTTGAAATTCCCCAGCAAGCAAGAAACATTAAATCAATTTTTTTGAAATATTGATTTTGTGTGGTTTTCATAAACATGTTGATATAATATTTTATAAATGTTTTTAAACTGTTATTTGATAATATTCCTAAATATTAAGATCGTATAGAAATATTATTTTTAACGTTAGAATCAAGTATTATTGATATGACGTTATATACAACATCAAGAGCTGCATATTTGAAAACGTTACATGTTATAAAATGTTATTGTAATGATGTAACAACATTGTATTAATGGTTTCTGTTAATGGTTTCTTGCTTATTGAGTTATATCCCTATAAGCGCGTAATATTCCTAGAATATTATATGAATATTATTCAATTATTTCGTGTAACTAGGAGATGAGCCATAATTTAATCTATAATTACATAAAATCATTTTTTATGATAAATTTTATTAAGATTTCTTATTATTATCCAAGATTTCTCACGGAAATTATTTTTGATCAATTTTTTGCCAACAGATAAACGGCAATTTTAGTTGGCAGCTTCTGTTGGGAAGCGCCATATCCTTGAACGGAATAATTCTTTTCTCATACGATATTTATAATCACATAAAAATGCGCAGTAATGTGGGTGATGTAGTCGTCTTTGGAACAATGTTCATATTTTGCAAAGCTTTTGTATCTCTATATATTAGTTACATTTGTCAGCGATCGAGAAATGAGGTTGAGTATTAGATACATGCCTACGTGCATATATGTGTGTATGTATGTAGAAATATATGCAGACGCAATTCTAATCTTATTATATGTTTAGTCCAGGCGAATGGCAAAGATCTTGCATGATGTTTTCCTGAAACACAAGTCTCTGCGGTCTGAGGTGACAAAAATTTTGCTTACACATAGAAATCCCGGGAAAAAGGATCATATGAAATTTTCCCATATATGACTATATATAATCATATATGTCCACAACAAAAAAATATTGTTGTTTATAAATTATTTGCAAATACAATCGAAATAAATACTTCTGGCTACTTATGCTTCTGACAGCACATAATATCGACATTTAATCAAATGACTTATATACAACATCATTTTTCCCGTATAGATATATATGATCATATATGTGACCACATATATGGGCAAAATTAACATATAATTTTATATAATTGTATATCATTATTTTTTCCCGGAAATTTTAGCTACATCAAAAAACATTTTAAAAATTGTAACTATTTTATGTAAACTCCACTATTTAGGTGGTATACTTTTCCCTTCAACTGATTCATGAAGACTTAATATTCACAGCTTGTGGGCTATACGAATATAACATGCCTTTTCTATGTTCCGTAAGTAAAAACCTCTTTTTAATATTATAATATGATATATGATGCACGATCTGTTATAATAGAATTATCTTATTATAGATTGCTGGAGCGATATTAACATATCTTGTCATGGTTATTCAATTAGATACCACTGCGAAATATCTCATTACAAGTACTGCGCAGAGTTACGCCAAGGATAATTCTACAGAGTATATTACGACTAATGCTGCATAATTTTTATGGCGTTAGCTTTATGTCACACAGTGTTTGCGTATCTAATTGTGAATCGTAATAATCAATAATGTTTTATAAATATTTTTAACAGAGAATTCTTCGTGTGTTATGGTTTGCGTCTCCGCTAATTGTTCGACATAATCGATATGATAGTTTCCTGTAATCTAATGTACCTTCTAACGAAAGTGCAAAATTTGCAATTTGGGTTTTCGATATTTGCAGATTATTGTCGGTAAATCTAGTGTCTCTGTAATTAAAATTAATATACGTAGCCTGTATTTCTTTAGCCGGTATTGAAATACGTAGCCTGTATTTCTTGTGTAGCCTCGATGGAAATATTTTGTTGAGAACGATCAGTATTATGAGATTCATAAAAAATGAAATGAAAATTATAGAAAAATTACTCAATTTATTTCAAAATGGGCCATAATTTTTACGAAATTGAATGTAATTGAATGTAATTGAATGTTAAGTATAAAGCGAATGTTAAGTATAAAGCAGTTGAATTATACCGTTGAAAGATAAAACATATTTTTTTTAATATATCGTAAAATTTATTGAATTTAATTGAAAACTGAATTTTTCCTGAAATATTGATAAATTAATAACAAAATGGGATCAATCGATAGAGAATTTTCAATACATTTCAATAAATTTTCATTATATTTTCAGTAAAATATTTTCATCCCAGGGAGTGCATTGTATTATTGTATCCAATTGTGTGAACAGTTGATTATATTATTATTTTTATTATTACCTCCTACAGATAACTCGAGATATGGATTTTTTTGATCGATGAGACATTTACGTTATTGAATGCTTCAACTTTCAATAGATGGTGCTGCAAATTGCGCACTGGTTTCCTCTTGTAATTTTCTCTGGCTCCGACGAGGAGTGCGACAGCTGCTTCGCAACTCTTTACGTTCCGTTCCAATCTGTATTGTGCTTCTAATCATGCGAAGGATAAACATTCGCATGAAATGTACGAGTTGCCGTGTGATGCAGAAATATTCTTCGAAGAATTTTGAGTAAGCAGGTAAGTCTGTATTTTCACACTTTCGAGCATGTTTGCGATGTTCCTATCTCATTTGGATCACCCATCGAAGTAATCGTTTTGCACATATGTACATACGTACTTCGCATAATTTTATTTTGCGGAGACCTCGCTCAGAAGAATCATTAGTGAAGTTATCCCCATATTATGGTGTCCTTCGCTGAAATTTGACACAATTAAAGGTCAATGCAATATTGAGATATCCTTTCACGTCTTTATTTAAACAAAATTAAAACACAATCATAACCACACAACACATAGAATTGGGCAATCATGTAAAGTCATTTGGAATAAACGAATCATTCGATTTGCTCTATTTTGTGTGTGTAACATGATAGTTGAATTTGATGATTGATTTGATTAATATTTCCAGATATTTCTAAGATGGCTGCATTACATAGAACATGTTTGTTTTCAGAAGACATTAATTTACATTTGTACCACGATAAAGACAAAGGAGGATAAATGGAATAATAAACATGGATATGTTTCCCAATGTTCAAAAGAAGGACTACAGAGTCCTAGACTTGGTGCGGCAAAGAGAGATACAAGTAAGCCGTGAAAATTAACATTTAACTTGATTCAAATATGTATTAGTTAATCATATTGTAGTTGTATTCAATATTTAATTTCTTTAGGATATAGTGTCATACACAATCCGACAAAAATTGCAAGTTACTGACAATTTAATATCACGTTTGGGTCTGGAAAAGGAGTTAAATGGTCATACAGGATGTGTTAATTGTTTGGAATGGAACGAGACTGGACAGTAAATATATTGAATGCGTATCTCCATATTATATTGTTAATTTGTAATGTGAATAATTTAAAATATCTCACTCATCTAGAATTCTTGCATCGACATCGGATGACAAGGACATTATATTGTGGGATCCTTTCCGTTACGAAAAGAAATTAGTAATTCATACAGGCCATCACGGAAACATATTTTCTGTTAAGGTAAACCAATACTAATTGCTATTAATCTAACCCATCTGAGGTGCAATGCTTGTATTTTTACAGAGATAGAGATTTAAGCTTATGATGTGACATTTATTATGGCGATATTATAATGTATCTTGTACATAAAGTTTATATATTAGTCTAAACGAAGAAGAGTCTCGTGTCGCGTTGCCACTTTGCTTTTTCCAAAGTACTCTTGTAGGGTTGATATCATACGTGGGGATTAAAAGTAGCGTGGCGTTTCTTCAAACTTGAAATATCTTGTTCTAACATCTAAGGTCGCATGTTTATCTTGATACTATTTGTATTTGCTTTTAGTTTATGCCAAAAGCAAATGACCGTGTACTGGTGTCAGGTGCAGGGGACTGCAGAATTCGGGTGTTCGACCTCACGTTCTCGCTCACCGAGCCGATATTCACATGCAAGTGCCACAAAGCGCGCGTTAAACGTATCGCCACCGCGCCCAGTATACCATTCTTGTTCTGGAGTGCCGGCGAGGATGGTCTCTTTCTGCAGTACGATATGCGTACACCGCACGTTTGCAGAAGCGAGGAACACAATGTGCTCGTGAACCTGGTATATCATGTGGGCAGCCAGGTGGAGGGCAAGTGCATTTCGGTGAATTCGAAGAAGCCCGAGCTGATAGCGGTCGGCGCTAACGACTCTTACATTCGGATGTACGATCGAAGGATGATCAAGCTGTCGCAGGTGATAGATAATTCCACGGCGTTGAGCAGGCTGTGTGTTTGCATCATCGTCATCATCGCATGCTCTAATCCTCTGAAAACGTTCTAGGTGCCGCCGCCTGCCACTTCGCATCTCTTAAACATGGAATGGGCAAATCTCAACAACTATCGAGCAGGCAAAGGCGATCCGGATGATAATATCCCGTTGGGTAGCGCACAGTATTTTATCGCGGGTTCGTTCGTACAATGAGGAATAGCGTACGCGATTCCTTTATCCTTCATACTCCTTCTCTGCTAATTGGTCGCGTGTGATCACTTTTGTGAAAATGATTATTGTTGTCTAATATTGAACAGGCCACCTGCGCTCTCGCGACAGTAACATTAGGAGCATCACCACGACTTATTTGACGTTCAGCGACGATGGCAACGAGTTACTCGTGAATATGGGTGGCGAACAGATTTACTTGTTTGACATCAATGACCCGAGACGTTCGAAAGAATATTTTGGTATGATTTCTTCGCCGAAAAAGTATACAGGTATTCGTCACCACATTAAGCCCTACCTTGCAGAACTATTGCGAATTATGGGTTGTTCCAGCGTATTCTCTTGTTCTCAGAATCTGTCGAACGGGGTGTCGAATTAGGAAGGTCTCATATGGAACAAATTGACGTGGAGAATATGGAAGATTTTACGGATAAAAATATGAAGGTGTTGCCGCCGCATGTTGAGGAATTGAAGCGTCAAGTAAGTATACTTATCACGAGGCTTCTTACGCGTGTTACATTATAATTGACACATTACTTTCATCAACAGGCGAATGAGGGTTTTGAGCAGCAAAAGTACTCGTTAGCGATTAATTTATACAACAAAGCAATCTGTCATTGTCCAACGGCATCAGTGTTGTTTGCTAATCGAGCAGCTGCGTACATGAAACGTGCTTGGTAATTATTTTCGTTTATAAAAGCGTAAGAGACAAATAATTATATCAATTGCAAGTGTGTGTGTATACATATATATATAAAATTATAATGTTTTTAGGGATGGTGATGTTTATGCTGCTTTACGGGATTGTAAAATAACATTACTTCTTGATCCAGAACACGTGAAAGCCCACTTTAGGTAATATCGATAAATATAGTTATATTTAGTTAGTATAATAATAATAATAATAATGAGCTTGAGATAAATTAAAATTTAGTCTTGTACATCGTCATTCCAAGCTATGCAATTGAATCCTTTGTATTTAAACCCATGAAAATTCCCTCCCCCTCCCCCTCCCCACCCCTTCACTTTTTCTCTCTCTAAAAGTTATGATATATTATAATTGGCGTTTACAGATTGGCGCGTTGCCTGCACGATTTAAATCGCTCGGCGGAAGCTGACAAAGTGCTCAGAAGTTTTCAACAGAAATTCCCCGAATATGCATCTAATTCAGCGTGTAAAGCGCTGAAAATGGATATAAAGGAAGCTATTGATAGCGGTAACATTATTTCAGTCTTTTATTATTGACAGAAGTGGTGCAACTCGGGTGTATGTGCTGGATGATTCGCCTATGCACAACTTCATCAGCTCGAATAACGTCTAGCACTCGAATAACTAAATGCATTTTCATAAAACGCATAATATGTGGAAGTTATTCGAGGTAATCAAGTTAGAAGAATCGCCCATACTTTCGCCCTGTACACGATTATGAATCCGGTCCGTAAAATTCTTAACTCCGGCGTCTGTTGTCTATATATTAGGAAAAGAAATCTTGCGTGGCAGTGCGATACCGTACCCGATATCAGAATACGAACAGGAATGGAGACGCAATACGATTGACTACAAAATGAGATTTTGCGGCCATTGTAATACGACGACCGATATAAAGGAGGCGAACTTTTTCGGAAAGTAAATAAACAAATCTAAATAATAATGTTAATTTATAATATGTTAAGAAATGTTTTTTTTTCTTTTTAAACGTTGCTTTTAACTAATGGGAGACAATTGTTGATACGACTGCCCGTCTCGATTATCTTGTAACATTTTGATTCTTTCCAGCAACGGTCAATATATAGTAGCCGGATCAGACGATGGTTCCTTTTTTATTTGGGATCGCAGTACTACTAATATTGTACGTGTGCTGCGAGGCGACGATAGAATTGTCAATTGTCTACAACCACATCCATCCACATGCCTGTTAGCTACCAGCGGTATCGATCCGGTAATTAGATTGTGGAGTCCGTTACCAGAGGTATGTTATACACGTGTATTTATAGGCCTATTTTCTGCGAATTCATTTTAATCGATAAAAGTGTCTCTAAAAATGATTTAGGACTCACCTGATTGGCTGAGAAACTACATTTATGGCACTTTTGTCGATAAGAATGAATTTAGAATATAAACTATAATCTCTTAATAGTATCGAAATTTAATAGAAATTGTAATATTTCTCTCTCTCTCTCTCTCTCTTTCTCTCTTCCTTGTTGATTTCGCGAGCGCAGACTTCTCCTCAGATCAACATATCATCATATATTCTTCGACATTTTTTTTGTGCAGGATGGCAGCGTAAATGACAGGGAAATTCTGAATCTGGATGACGCCGCGTCGGCCAACCAAGTACGCATGAACAGCGATCCGTTTGAAATAATGCTCATGAACATGGGATACAGATTACCTGCTCAACAAGCAGAGTTCAGCGACGAAGACGGTGAGGACCCACGCGATATACCGATTACGCAGGCTTTAAACTGTAGGCCAAGCTAAGTCTCGCAAGGAACACACGAGAGAGAGAAAGAGAGAGCACACTAAGAACGATTAGACAACCGAGAAGGTTTATCGACACGAGTGTGTGTGTACGTGTGTGTGTTACAATTGCACACTATTATTTCCATTTCTATTTATTTTGTTTTTTTTTTCCACAAATGCATCCCGCAGCACTTTCCTTGTGTAATCTATCACGACGGTGTTTTTATAAGATTGAAGGGAAAAAAGAAACAGAAGATCTTATTTGTCGGTTAATTTTGTGGGCGTTTCGTTAAGAAACACGAAGCAAAGTACGTGGGTAAACATTATATTTCGAATCCATGTAGTACGACATAGTTAATAATATATTACGTTATGATATCTCTTTGTACAAAATGGGTTTGCTTTTATCCCCTTTTGAAGCTAACGTTTAATAATAACGGCGACGAAAGGCCGCCTCGTGAATAAGCCGAGCAGTTTTCTGGCGTGAAAGAGTGAAAGAGAGTGAGACACTCGGCAGAGAAAGAAGGCTGTTCAAGCCGTAGGAAATTAATTGACGCCCGATGGTACTAGTTCCCATAGACTCTGCAACGTGCTACCTTCTCTCGGCTCTTCCGCCGCCAGTCCTAGGTGAATCGAGAAATTAGGCTTTCTCTGGCCCGTCTCCCCTTCGGAGAAGTAATAACCGAAGACATTCGATATCTCAGCTTGATTATCTTGTATCTCAGTGAAATTCTCCACGCTAACTTCCTCTTGCGACGGCGCCTGTAATGATAACGGATGACACTGACGTTGTCGCATTGCGCGCGGCACACGTTCCTACTGGAGGGAATTTGCTAACAACACTCGATACTCGATAGGCTGCGAGAGGGATTCTCATAGAGAGGGAAGAGCGCGTTAGCGATCTCGAGGGAAATTTAATTCGGACTTAGGATTTAATCGTAATCAAATTGTGGTCCAAGTAAGTGGTGGCACGAAAATATAATTTTACTCGTACATATGTACCGATGTGGCGTATATCGTTGCACACAATCTATAGTTTTCAGTACATATAATTTCACGATTGCGTTGCACGTAAGATAAATATGATTAAATTACGATCTGTGTGATCTCTCGTCTCTTTCTCTCTTTTTTTTTTCTCTCTCTATACGTGGCGATATCTGGCCAACAACAAACGCGGCGATTTGATTTCACGCTCTCTTCGTTCGAGCAGCCACGGCAGAAAAGAAAATGTATGCGTGTGTGGTAGTATGGAGCTTGGACCACAATGAAGCCAATATGACTGTGATAAAGTATACATTAATATGCGTTATAAGCTACCTGATGTTCGAACGTGTACTCCACACCGAAAATCGGAAACTTGTCGAATTCCGAACGGAGCACCGAGATCTCTTTGTGAGTGATGTGAAGCTGCTGCAAGGGATTAATGCGAAAACCTAGGACGTATCCTCCGCTGGCCTCTGTACTTAAGATTACTAAAGTCGGCCCGAACTTCGATGTCCTGATAGTGATCTGCGACAGAAATACAGAATGCGCGGTTTGCTCCCCGTTTGTGCGGTCTCGACAATTCCTACAAGATTTCTAAAGGTGCTCAGTACTGAGCGAGATGCAGCATATCCTGTAATGATACTTTAACGATTCTATTCGTTACATGCACATTCGCAATTCCGATCACACTCACGTTTCCAATTGTAAGATAAGGTATCGACACATTAAACTGATGGTTCACATCCGCATACCACACCAAACGTATATTTGTTATAATAAAAGTCCCGATGTTTCCCTAAAATATAAATTATTCGCCCAATCAGCGACCACGAGCGCGCTCGTTAATGACTTAACGGTCAACGACCGATCGAGATTCTTTTTTGTGAGAACCTGTTCGATAGACAAGTTCCAAACATCCTGCACAGAAGAGTGTACTTTTTCCTGCGGCAGCAAGACCAGTCGATTTTCTTGTATAATGCCGCTTCTCAGCTTGATCTCTCTGTAGATCTTGGACGATACGTAAGCTCTGCAAAAGATGTCTTGCAGGAGCGGTTAAGCCACGACTGAGAATTTCGCGAAAACGAAACATCGAGAGAGCATTGTCGTCACCTGTAAACGCCTACGACCGAGGTGTAGTGCCGCGTACTTTTGGAATCGTGGTTGGTAAATATGAATTCATAACGGCAATTTCGATATGAAGTCAACACATGAAGAGCTTGTATGTATCCACCGTGAATCTAAAAAGAGAAGCAACAAGAAGAGAGAAAACGATTACCGGTCGCGGTAACGATAAAAAATTCCCGCGTCCAAGACGATCCTTACCGTGTGGAGGATCCTGGAGTTCACTGTGACAAACGTGTTGTAACCTATGCCTGTAAAATTACCACGTCTCTCACTTCTCCGCGTTCACACAGAAACGACATGAGCGGTTAAGAATTTAGTTAAAAAAAAAAAAAAACCCGAAATTTTTTTAAAGTTTTCAGGTTTTTTTCGGTTCCTTTTTCCAAAGGATAGGAAAATTCGTTTAGAAACATTCACGTAAGTTTTAACCGAACACGTGAGTTTTTCTATTCTTGGGAAAGAAATCGAAAAAAAACCCGCGGAAAAATAAAAAAAACCGCTTGTTTTCTGAGCTTTCAAAATGATATAATAGTTAAGAGTCAAGAGACAGATCTTGAAACGATACCCAACTAATTAAGAGATTACACTTCAGACAACACTGTGTCTAAAATCGAGACGTGAAATGTCTGAAATGTCTTTCAGACATTGAACATGAAATATCTTAAAGACATCTTAAAGAAAGACGTTTCATATCCCGATTTTAGACATTGTGTTGTTTGGGACGCGTGCAGTAACACGTCGATCGTGTCATACTTAAATTAATTCGCGGCAAGGACAAGGAATGCCATATGATCCTCAGGTTCGTGATGATTAATCTTCCCAGATCCCCGGAGTTGCCTTTCGTGTCTTCTATCATGTCGAGTTTGTCAACGGTAAGCTCACCGGCTCGCAGTTGTATGTTGCTACGTACATGAAGACGACATGATTTCAATTTTCGAGGGTACACGCATTGCGTTTTCACGTATGTTTTGTGCGCAATCTACGTTCTTTCGTTTGATTTTTCACCGCACATTTAGCGCTGAATGTAGCCGCACCCGATCGCGCGCTCGTCGCGTGCGAAGATACAACGCACGAGCATGAAAAGCACGCAAGCGAGGCAGCATTTAGCGTTAAGATGTGCCGTTGCGTACACGTTAAATCGATTAAAATCGACAATTCGGGGGAAATAATCGGAATTAATTATAATTACGAGTGAGAAACGTCAAATCTAACTTCGCTGTCCTGCCACATTTTAGGCGTCATCTCGACGATACCGCGACACAGCCGGTGTCTTTCACTCTGGCTTACGTTCCGGACTGGGAATCAATATTGTCGTCATACCTACGGAGGCATAACACGATGTTTAGTTTGTTCTGTTTAGCTGAAACGGCTGCACCGGTTCAAGAAATTTACACCGAAGCGTGAGATGGTCTGTTCATTATAAATTTCTTTAAAATAAAGTTTCTTATAAAATATATTTGCCTTATTTTAACTTATTGCATCAGTTCAGCGGTATATAAAGTAGCTATAAAGAACAGACCAAGAATCTCATGCATACGCTTCAATATGTATCGATCTATTCTTTATAGCTGAATTGGCTGCACTAGTTCAAGAAAATTACGCACACCGAGGCGTGAGAATTTTGTACGCTTCACACGCTTCGATATGTATGTAAATTTCTTGAACCAGCGCGGCCAGTTCAATTACAAAGAAGAGACCATGTATAAATTTCTCGAACTAGTACAGCCAGTTCAGCTAAAAGGAACGGATCGCATATGTACAACATGCAACTTTACTTTTCAATCCTTTTTCCCGTGATTCATGTGTACTTTTCGAACTGGTGCAGCCAGTTCAGTTAAAAAAGAGCAAGCCAATTATGTCCCGCGATGTATGCGCCGGCGTTCGAAATCCGCCGGGAATTCTACCTCGCGTTATCGACGAGTGATCATTTCCCCCGTGAATCGTGCGATCGATCGATCGGGAATTAACACAGGGAAAAATCGACTGCGCGCATTCGCGACGACGAAGATTTGTGAAAGCACACTCGTGTATATATATTTCTCTTCAGGTTGCTGTTACAGTTACAGTAGTGAAAACTCGACGCGGCTGGAACTACTCCTCCGGCCAAGGCTTGCCTATGCCCTGGGACGCGCCCATCCTGGACGGGTCCTGGCTCGGATAATGTATGGGAGTCGTTCCCGGAGGGAAGATCGGCGTGGCGGCGGCGGCGGCTGCGGCCGCGATCTGCGGCGGGAACATGAACTGCGGGGCGACCGGTGGCGGCGGGATCATCATCGGCGGCGGCATCATGCCGGTGGTGGTCTGCAGGTTGAAGAAATTGTTGGCCACACCCTCGGGCGGCGGTGGTAGCGCTCCCGGTAAGCCCGGCACCGGCTCCAGGATCTCCCTCGTAGCTTCCGCCGCGGACACGGTCTGCCTCCCCTGGGAACGGCCCCACTTGATGGTGAGCCGTCTGCCACCCAATATCAACTTGTTGAACGTCCTCTCGGCCGCTGCTTCGGCGGCGGTTCTCTGGGTGTATTGAATAAAGGCACACTGCTGGCGCGGCACCATCGTCACCGAGCGGATCTCGCCGTACTGGTAGAAGTGATCGCGCAGTTGCTTCTCCGTCAGCACGTCCCCTAGGTTGCCGATGTACAGAGTCGTGATGGACTTGTCCTCGGGCGGGTCGAGCTTGGGCATGGCCGCGGCCCGTCGCATCAGCTTGTCCGCCACCGGGTCGTTCACACCGTAGTAACGATCCTTGATGTTCTGGTCGGCCAGCGGGTCGTCCGGGTCTGTTGGTTTCTCGTGCCGATAAGGGCACTCCTCGCCTCTCTTGCACTCACCCTTCACCCAGAAGGAACATATGTGGGGTCTGTTTCTCTTATAGTACGGACTGGTCCTAGCTAGCTTCATCAGCAAGTCGCTAGCCGCGGCAGACTTGCCGACGGCACCGGCCGGTGTCGTAGGGTCGATCTTCCCGATCTCATTGTCGATGTTTTGCACGTAGTATTCTTTATTTACATCGGAGCGAGGCAGGTCGTCTTTAATTTTCAGTGCAGCGTCGCGCACTTGAATAGGAAGACCGTACTCCAAGTCCAGCAAGCACGTTTGACAGACGTTCTTCAGTCGACTGCATGTCTGGCACACCTCGGTCTTCTTAAATCGCATCCTTGCCCCCGGACACCACCTGAACACGGTGAATGGTCGCATGCATATCTTGCACTCCTTGCCATACCTCTCCTTTGTCTGCGAGTCAAATATTTGTATAGTCAATAATTGTTACATCAAATGAGGGATGTCATCTAAATGTACAAAAACATTCTTGTGATAACAAACATTTTCTTGATTATGTAAAAACGTGGATCGAAATAATACAGACTATCATTTAACTCCTTAACCCACGATTTACGTTCCAACGGTCTCCAAAACGTAATATTTACATTTGGCCCGACCGATGTACCACGGGCCAGGCCCGTGATAATCAGTTCTGGCTCGAATATAAAACCACGTGTCTCACACGTAGTTGTAGATTAAGGGGTTAAGGATATTTGTTTGTCCACTTCCGTTGAGAAGGATCTTGCAGTTACTATTGATGCTTTACTGTTAACATAACCTCTCTGACGGGACGAAATTTTTTTTTCGACAGTAACTTTTGTAAATAGATATTGCGCTATTTCAGAGTAAAGGATATTTGGTTAAATAAGTAGAAACTGTTAATCACTTACCATACGGATATACGGATTATCACCTAAACAGGTCTGACAAAGTATCGGGAATTCCTATGACAAACGAAAAATCAGTTGCGGTCGTATAAATTTCACAGAGAGCAAATCACAAAATTCGCACGGAATTTCTTTACACTTACCGCATCTTCCCAGTTTTGTCTGTTATACGTGTTCGTAGTTTTTGAGGTCGCCATTATACGTTAAATCAACTAAAACTGACGGGAAGGAATTAACACAACACTTCCACCATTTGCAACACTTCTTCTTGTTAGACGACCCAGAGGGAGACTCCATCCGCCAGTTTCTGATTGGTTATTCTATGGAATTCAGTAATGGCGTTTTCGATTTGCTGACTCGACCCGACTCGGAGTCAGCAAATCGAAAATGACAGGCAGTGCCGACGAGCGCGCTGATTTAAATAGGTTTGAGATACGTGCGGACACGACCCATTTGCAATACGAATTACCCACCAAAGAAGATATCATAAAAAAGTTATGTAGTTTTGCCTTTATAAGTTTCAATGCCATTTCGAGAGTCAGATGTTCAAACTAAATCTCCCACTCTTGACACATATATTGTTACGTGTTGCCCAGCTGTACTCTTCCCTCGGAGAGTACAGGATGAGGCATAGCTCATTTCATGAACATAGCAGTATCCTGCGCTATCTGTCCTCTACTCTCTTCTTCCCCCCCCCCCTGTAATTTCGGTGAAAATTATGACAATGTGTTCTCAGAAGTAATTAGTAGCTTAAAAGTTCAGTTTTCAGATATATATATATTAAGTTTATAATATCATTATTACTTCTTGCTAAGATATATATATATATATATATATACAAATTAAAGGGAAAAATTAAAGGGAGAAATTCACGCTTTTAATAATCAATTTTACAAATATTACAATTTACAAGTATTTAGGTGGACAGTGATTTCTTAATAATCATCAACTGTTATTTCGATCGGCGGAATGTAGCGCCATGTGTGCCCGGCATTTACCAGTTCCGAGTAAAGTACTGGAGAGTTCGGGGCGGATTCTTTACTACTGCATTGAATATCGATCTTGTACTGGCCGGCTGTGAAAAACACCACCCGACATTCGTGATACGCTCTGCCGTATTCCTGCAACTGTCACCATATATATATGATAATAGGGTGACAAAACGCGCGCATAATTAGGTGCAACCACAAGTTGCACTTAGAAGAGTTGCAACTTACAGCAGGCAGCATGACTTTATTCGCACCAGCTATGGATAGCCTCGTTTCTAACTGATAATTGTTAACTCCATTGTGATGATCCTGATAGAAGTTGATGGACAATGTGAGATCGTTCAGCGGATGTTCCAGAGCATTGCACACTCCCACACCTACACTGATACACTCGCCCAAGCCGCAGGTCAATTCATCCTGCGCTTTCACGGTAACGTCGTTGATGATTATCTCTGAAAAATATTCATTACTCGTTCATTTCGCCCGATGTGTTCGGTTAAACATACGAATGTGTGGAGAACAAGCATACACACGCACCCCATTGAAGAGGACTCATTCTCACCAGATCCAGCATATCCTGAGTCAGAGTGATGCCAGACAGAGTCGCTTTACCCGTTGACTCTGTACCTAATAATTGCCAGCGCAGGTCGACCAGCGAGGCTATGTGTTCAGCGCATATTTTTTGGAGTTCACCGGTCTCACCTGCGCCGTTCAACTATAGATGGAGAACAATAGTGTAATATTACACGGGTTCGATGAATTTCTCAATATAAATTAAATCGTTCATTACCATAGACAATTTATTAAGCGGACATCGGTCAACCGGCACGGGTATCCTACATGGTTCTTTACCTTCCATGTATATACATTTGGTCTGCGTGTAGTGTAACTCCATCTCATGATTTGTCATATTCGTCACGTCCAACACGAGATAGAATTGCAACGGCCTGAAAGAATGATATTTATACAGACTTTTGTTGGTGGTTCAACTTCATACGTAGAAATGAGAACGGGCCTTTAAGAGAAAATAGAACGGGCTTTTAAGAGCCCAAATCGCGCTAGTCTCGGCGACGTTATTAAATAATCGCGCAATGGCCTCGAAATCAGTCAAGAAGCGACGTTTGTCGTCCCAACTTACGTTTCAGCCGGCAAAACGTCCCAATTGGTGATTTGTACACTGGGCAGCATCTCGATGGTTACGAAAACAGACGAAGTCCTGCAGTAACCAGCCGTCAAGCCGGCACCTCCCGAATATTTTATTCTCAACTGACCCTCGATGACGTTGGACGTGTGCAGAGGTATCGCCAGTTTCGACAGACGCGTGCTCGCCAAGGAGGAATGACCGGATTGCGAGCTCACCCCCGACCTGAAGGAGGAGGTCAGCTCGGATTGTCTCTTGGTATGGTGGGATGGAGAGCTGAGCCTAGACGGCAGAGAACTGTGGCCCGAATGCGACATTAAGCTGCTCGGTTGGCTGAGGCAGGTGCTGCTGGTAACATCTGGAAGAGAACGGAGTCGCATGTTATCAGCGAAAGAAGTGGGAACGCCTCGAGATCTTAGATTTGAGAAGGTCACCGGCGCAGACCTTACCGTTTCTAATCGAAGGCGCCACGAAATCCGTCGCTGCGTACAGATACAGAGTGAGACTCGCGCTGCTGGCAGGTTGCAGAGGTAACTGCATCATTAGGTTCTCATCGCTCCACTTGAATATTTTACTCTCGGTTACTGCATCTAAAGCGGACTGTACCGATAACTCGACCATCTCGATGGGGACCTGCCCGGCATTCGTTATTGTCACGGTACACTCGGCACTGCAAACGTAAGCAACGTCACATCGGCGAGTTTTGTACGAAAAAGAGAACAGCATCAACGGAAGAATGAATGGCGTTTATAGCGGACCTCTCACCGCCGTAGAGCGATATGCTCGCGCTCGTGACTATGTTATCGCCCGAGCTGAAACTGGCGGTTTGAGGTAAACTGGTCGCGACCTCGATCCTTGGTAAGGCCGGAATTACTTCGACCGTGTATTGCGGGTGCAGCATGCCCTCCATGTGCCTCAGCCGACAGTTCGACTTCACTCCTAGCGTGTGCGTGCTGAAACCGAGTATCTCCAAATCGCCGACTTCCTTGGGCCTGCCTGCTAACGTAACCGCCATCGGCCCGGACTTGGCGGGCAGACTGATGCTTTCCGGTATCGACTCGAACACCACGCCATTCGTCAAGAGCCTCATGTTAGACACGTGCAGCTCGAACGGCAAAGGATTTATGAGCTGCATCGACACCTCGCAGATGTCTCCTTCCACCCACAAGTAATCTGTGCGACAAAAGCACGCTGGATAGATGATACGTCGTATCGTCAAATTATATCGACGATAATAGTCGACACTTAGGGTACGCACATACCGACTTTACTTTTCGAGGTATTTTTGCGTTCCAACGAGCCGAAGTTGATCGGTGTGAACAGGAATGGGCCGTGATCTTCTTTCACTCTCTCTATTTTCTGAGGTTGTAAATGTGGCTGCATGTTCTTCAGAGTGAACGATTTTGTTTTTGGTATATTCAGCAAGTTAGCTGGCGGTATGACGGTTCCAGAATCTAAAACCTGTTACAAGAGACGTCGTTTCCTTTATCGTGAACGTGTGCAATGTCACTCTTCGCAATGTCGTAATTTTCTTAACATACAAGAGGCACTGGTGCACCCTCGCACTGTTGCGACACGCTCTGAAGCTGCAACGCGGTGTCTTTCCGCTCGTCGGGCGTTAGGTGATTGTACATCGTTTGAAGCAGAAATGTCATGTGCCTCGTGGCGAGGGCTGGGTTACCCATTCGATTCGCAGCGGCAACAAGCTCATTTATCACTTGAATCTGTATAACCGGCCATCCTCTTTGTCCATCTACGAAAGAAAGGTTTGTTTTCAAACAATAGAAGGGACAAATGAATAGAAAACACGATGAGAGCGAGTGATAGAAACAATCGAGAACAACACATATCTCGAATAACAAAGTTTCTCATATTCACGTGACACACGGGAGATATGTATGTATATATTTAATGACTATAACAATTACCTAGCGGCATATCGACAGGATCCAAGGACAACTTAAATCCGGGCGTGGCTTGTAACATCAAGTTGTAACACTGCTGCCAATCTGGATTGGGGTTATTTTGCGATACATGGCGTGTGGCGGCTAAACGCAAACAGAATGAGGCTTTTCTATCGAAACCAAAGCTCGTGTATAGATCTGATAGTGTGGTAAATCGGTCAATCTGAAATGTTTTATCTATATAATGCCTTAACGTGCTTTGTGTCTCGCAGTTCTCCGCATTACACTACTCTAACTGTACGTACTTTTTCCTGCTCGCTCAAAGGCAAATTAATCAGCACAACGTTATTTAAATACGAAGCAGCTTGCAAGGTGCAGTTCTGCTCAATCGAGATTCTTGTGGCCTTAAAACTAGCCTCGGTTTCAATTATACCTGCGTACTGATATTTACTATAATGCACTATAGCATCACGATATTTCTTAGATATTTCATCGGGCTGTAAAATGTGTGGCATGCTGGTCTTTATCACTTCTATACTAGGTGGGGCCGGCAGAACTGCGATAGCCTGCGATCCTCGTCTGTGGAACAATGAATCAGTGTTTTTTTTTCAGAATAACGATGAGGCGAAGAATCTGAACTGAAGTAAGATACTAAAAGTAAACGTCTTCTTATCACAGATTTCTTATATAGATCGTACAGTTTATCTCAGAGATTGGCCGTACCTCTGTTTACTCGGACTTCCCTCTTGTAGAGAAGAGTTCCTCTGCAACGGAAGACTTCGACACATATTTGGGTACAGAACCAAGACCGAAGCGGCACAGAGACCTTCGTAAGCGGCGCCCAACCACAGCCAGTCGTTGACCGCCTGCAGGATATTGGCCGCAGAATTATAATGACTCAACGCTTCAGCTGGGAGCCCGGCCTGAAGACACAGGTCCCCCAGATGCTTCGTCATACGACCTACGCATCTCTTCTTATTATTCCTAGACTCAAGATCCAGTCCTATGAAGTCTTTCTTCTCGAACGGTGCTAACAGAAGGGAGACGCGGTCTATCTTTTCTCTAGAACGCTCCAGCCTCTTAGACTCCAAGATCCAGAATAGAAAATTTAGGTACTCGGCGATTTGTGTTTCTAGGTCAGGACACGACTCGTCCGCGTAGAACACCGCACGGGTCTTGAAATTGCTGGGTGTGGTGTAACCCGGCGGTGGTTCGTGACGGCCGTTCGACTCGAGCGAGCCGAAGAGGATGGCTCGTGAGTCGTACAAGGTGCTGCTGTACTTCACCTTCAAGGTCTCGTGCAGCCTGCACAGTTCGTTCAGCTCCGCCTGGTTGTCGTACTTGCCGAACGTGATGAGACCCAGCAGCCTTCTGTGAGTCTGAAAGTCCCCCCAATCGTTGTTCTCTACGGGGTGCTCGCGAACGAACCTCGCGAGGATCTCCCGGGTGCCGCCGCTGGAGTCGGACACGGAGAACCTGCTGCCAGCTTTGATGATCCTCTCACATAACCTACCGACCGTCTTCGGCTTGATCTGCGCGCCGATCGGCCTCAGCAGCAGCAACAGGGCGGCGTGATCGTGGGCGGTTTGCTCATAATCGGGATGGGACATCTTGTTGTCGGGTACCGGACTCGACAGGATAACGCTGATAGCCGAGCGCATTTATGCCATTGATTGCCAGAGGGTATCCTCGCCAATTAGTGCCTGAGCGCTCCCGACTCGGCTGGATTTGTCATTTCTCTTCGCGAGTCCTCCTCGGCTGGAATGTGCGCGACGCTTTGTACTCTCGTAAATGCGATCCGTCACGTTTCATAACAACACACCGACAATCCGTCTCGGGCGATCGAAACCACCGTCACCACTCGAAGGGTGTCAGCGCGCATGAATGTAGTATTTATCAGCTGATAGTTCGTATATGTCACGTGACACGTCGCACTACGTCACGTGACGCGCCTCGGATCACGTGACCGTCGAGTCGGCCGCGCTCGCTCGTGCGCAGCAGCGATTTAAACGCGGCCGCTCCAGTTTGCCGCGCAAGGATACCACGTTCCTTCGTGTACGCGCGTCGAACTTTTATATAATTATCTCCCGCGTTTTCCCTCTTACCAGGAAAATATACTGTATCGCACCTACTTTCTTTACCCGGAGATACTCTTCGTCAGAAGCGTTACGGTGCGGAATTATTGGCACCAACAGGAAAATCGGGCGAGTACTCGGAATTAACCTATTCGCGATTGAACACGCGTATCTAACGATTAATCCACCGTGTGAGAATCTTGATCGTTCCACGAAGAAGATTGCGAATCGAATGAATCTAACGTGATCGCGCGTGTGTATTAAAGTAAAAGTACCGGTGCCTGGGCATGTACTTAACTCTGGACGTCCTTGTTGCTTCGGTCTTTGAATACAAATATTGAAACTTTCAACATAGACTGTATTTTACACATATATTGTATATATATGATTATATGCCGATATTGTATGTTTAAAGATTAAATATTCATATTTAAAGGCTAAATAAACAAGAATGTCCGTAATTAAGCACGTGTCCTGGCACTGGTGCTTTTACCTTAATGTATATATGTAAATGCGTGAAGTATTTTCATGCCGCGAGAAACTGATAAAAAAACTGTTGAAATATGACAAATGTGACGACGAGGCGGAAGAGGAAGGAGATTGAGAGACACACACAACGTGGCGATATAACGTTCCCGCTACCCGCAAACAGAAGTGCGAAGTGGGATAAATCAGTGGCGTATTAACATCTGTACAGGACTCGAGGTGGTAACCGCGTCGTGTGTCTTTTTTAATACATAATTTAGACGATTTCGACAGGTTCAATGAGGACGTGCAGCCAATGAATCATGAAACATCTCCTTCACGTATTATACATAGTATTACACACAGGAGAACTTGATTTTTGTGTTATGCGCAACGAATCTGAGCACATTCCTGGTTGACGTTCGCGTCTCAGCTGTCACATTAGTGTGAATAACACGCAATAAGAGGGAAATTCAGCGATCAATCATAAATAACTGAAATGAACTAGAAAAAGAGAAAAAACAAAATCCCATTTGATACACGTCGCAAATCCTTATTTCCGATTCAACTTAAGATCGATCGGCATCGTCGCCTTCGTTCACTTCGCGCGCCGAATTAACGAAGACTCGCACCGTACTCGACATAGTGAAAAATGTTGCGTTGGAAATGGTCCGCTGAAATGTTCTCTTACTTTAACACGGGACGTATATTAAAAAATACACAAACGTGTGTTAAGAAGTACACAAATGTAATGTTGAATTAACACGTTCATCCTGTCAACGTGTGTTCTCGTTAACACCGTGTTAAAGCGAAAGAAAATTTGAGCGGGCCGTTTCTAACAAAAAATTTGTTACCGTGCCCATAGGATGATGCTCGGTGACGATGTGGAAGAAAAACCCGAGCGATTCGTTCGCGCGATGATTGCTCCGGCACTGTCGGAGCGGCCGGAGCAGGCGGTGGTGAACAGTGGGAGAATAGCGGCTCCGCTGTTAATACGTAGGTAGTGTTCAGTGTTGAGGCCTCCGTGTGCGCGAGTGCGCCGTGGTGAGCGAGCGTGTACAACAGGTGTCCCGTGAGATCGGCTAGCTCTGTGTAGCGACGGTAGTACCGGTTCCTCCATTTCGCTCCCCCGTTAGTGTTTACTCCCCGTCGCCTTTCACTCCGGGGCCGCCCCGTGAAGGCCTGGCACGAGTACACGAGCGAGCGCGCGTGGTGAACCGAGCGGCGTAACATGATGTCGGAGACCGTGGTGACGATGGACAGTTCCAGCAACAACGCCAGCAACAATCCGCGGCAGGTGCCGACGGTGAAGACGGAACCGGGTCAGCCGAACCCTCTGGCCGGAATCCGGCTGAACGTGCCCTACTTCAAGACCATACCCGGCATCCTCAAGCTAGTGCAGCTGGTAAGCGCGCGCGCTATTTTACTCTGTTTATCCCGCCTCGTGCAATTCGTTCGCGCGATTCCGGACTTGGTAATTCCGCGCACGGCAAATTCGCCTTCGTGTCCGGTGCGATACGAAATTTACCTTGCGTGTTGTTCGGCAAAGTTCCGGAGTTCTCGCGAAAACGCGATAGCGTCCGCGACCTCGTACGCGCGTCGCGCGCGCGTGCCATTTTTCCCCGAGTCGGAATAACGTTGCGCGCGGTGTGTAAATACGGCGAGTTACTCGCGAGAATCGCGCGGCCTGTGCCTATGCACCGGAAGAGTTTGAAGTCAATCCCAAATCCCGCGGGGAGGAATTTGTTTTATAACAGGTACTTATTTTACAACACTTGTCGCGGGCATTTTACAATCTCAAGGCGCGTTTTTATCACGATAGGTAGCGTGAGAGTTCAACATACCTTCACGCTCCGTAGCGGGACGGAATGATGTGTACCAAAGAAGGAAATTCAAGAAAGCTCGCCTCTAGTGAATTTCTTTCTTCATTTAATTCTGAACCAATCTGTGTATTTTAATAAATGAATGTTAATGTTGTCAATAAGAACGAATTCGTGGTCGATTAATCGCGTATATCGTTGCGACATGAAGCGATTAGCAATCCTGAAAACGTAGAGAGAGATCATTAATGAATCATGTTCTTTAGAATAACAAATAATGGCAGTTAGTCGCCATATAGGTTGACCGATGCTATTAGGTCGGTCACTGTTTCTAATTATCTCTCGATTCGTTGTTTTTCAAGGCGTTCTATATGCGACTCCTTAGACTTAGCTTGCGATGGACTCGATGCTTATCACGTAAGAGCTAATAATAGTTATTTTAGAGGCACTTGCTGAATATTTTTATAACACCATGCGATCTTCAGTCCGTCAGGTAGGACACGTCGAGAAGTCAAATGCGATAACTCGATTGAGTAAGTTTCGTTTAATCAAAGGTGGTGTATCTTTCCACCTGCTTTGGTAATTGCAGACATCTGCAAGTATCGTACTACTCGCAATGCCGTTGCCAATTGGCAACGCGAAGCATTTCATGGTGAAACGCTCGAGATTCAAGATTAGAATGGACGAACGCTCGTGGTCCCTTCTTCTTCTTTTTCTTCTTTTTTTTTTTGTTACGCCGAATTTCTCTCTTGGCTGTGTTATTGTTCCACTCGGGAATGTTGCCAAGCATCAAGCGGGGATCATCGTAAAAATTACCCGCGTCTGCCGGGATTTCGGAGTGTCGCCGATATATTTTATACTCGTCGTGCACGAGGACGTTCGCGTCCACGGCCGTTCCGCGTTTTATACGCCGCGCAGATCGCATGAACGAGGAAAAAGATGTCAAAAGTGATTTTCGATCGTTCGTATTCCAATGAGTTTCGCCTTGGAAGTGTTGCACGCAGATAGAATAGCGTTACGTAACACTTATCTTCCACTATGAGCGGCGATTCTACCATTTCCATCGCTCTGGCGACTCTGGCGGTCCGTGTGTGAAGCGGAGACACAGCCATAAGTGACTATCACGCTACGATATAAGAGGTCACGCAAAAAGCGCGATAGTACATCGTAATTGCCCGTACTTTTAACAGAGCGTGTCGTTCTTCGCTCTGGTCCTTTGCAAGCGCGGTGGTACCCTCGTCCGTGAAATTCCCTCAGGTCGCGCATTCGTGTACTTTCCACCAAACACGCAAACTGAGAAAAAGGCTCGTAATGGTTAACAAATGCATTTGTTTGAGCGTTCGGTGTAATATTTGATAATTAGCATCAAGCGATAATATTTATCGTTTAATCGTAATAATCATATAATAATTGGTAAAGCAAATTCTTGAAAGAGTTGAACCAATTAAATTATTTAACAACCAGTACTAAGCCAAAAGTTTGACAACTACCAAAGCGTTTGGAAATTATTACTAAATCGTCCAATAATTCTTAATATCGTCCACGTAATGTAGTAAAATATTATTAAATAATATAATTTTATCCAACAGTTTGGTAATGAGTACCACATAAATTAGTAACCAAACCTTGTTAACAAACAGCAAGCGTTGCTAAGATTATTTATTACTATTCATCATATTATTCGGTGATTTTCACCTTACACGTAGTTGAAAGTATTTCATCAAAGCATTTGGTATTATGACTCAGGTTTGTTGGTTATTACCGAATCCTTTCTTCAATGTACAATAACACTCAAGTGAAATTGGAACATGAGTTTCGCGCATTGACGGGGAAAAATCTCGAGATCAATTTCTGTTACGATCAATTCTGCCCGCTTCCAGCGATTTTAGCGATTAAGCTGTGCCGCTTCATCATTTGCGCATACCTCGCTGACAGCTGCCTACGGTTCCAATTTGTTTAAAGACTAACGGCCGTCATTAAGGGGTCAACGATACTGACGCTTTCGCTCATTTTTCAGGATGTAAATAATGTCAGTTGCGCTCGAGCGTCGTTCCAACGATGGAAACACATCAAAAGTATCGGCCGCTTATCGGTACGCGAAATACGCGGAGAATGTAGCGACTTTGATAAGCGCTTTACGCATACGCGAGTTTTTATGACAACTGTATTAGAAACGACTCGCCTGTCGTCCATTGGGCTGGGATCGATACTTTCTACGAGGAAATTTAACTTTCTCGGCCGGCCTCGACGCGCGAACGCTTGTCTCCGCGACGGGAGCGCAGAAAATGTCCGACGCGCCGGTCGATACCTCGGTTACGATCCCTCCGAAAATCCGTTTTGCACCGTAAAACCGTATTTATAACTCTCGATAACGGCGTCGTTTAAACGCCAGCGTTCGTTTATTGCTTCACTCAGCGGGCGTTTGTGCGCAACGTTGTGAGCCGCTGTTCGAACGTTTTCCTTCGAAAAGAGAATACGTCTAAATGCCCCGCGATAATCTTTTTTATCGCGTTTCCGTTCTATCGATTCGCCTCTGGACGGTTTATT